CCATAGCTGAAATAATTCAGATAATGTACATTATTCATTAGAAAGGGAAATCCTAATGTTTATGTCTGTGTATTATGAGCATTTAAAATATTCAGAATTTATTCCATGAATATTTTACAGTTAAGTAAACTTTACCATGCAATCTTTAACAGATCTGTAGGAAATAAAGTAGAGGTCAACCAGTTTTTTGGATACCACACACAAATGATGAAATGATTTTTGAAATTTCTCAGGGGCTCAAGAGATTGCTTAATTGCTGTGGAAGAGGCTTTTGGAACAAGCAAAGTTGGGAAACTATTCTGGGTCAAGGCCTCACCACTTGCTCCTGGACCCTGGGATAAGACTGTTTATCCCTGCTTTTCTACCGCTTTCAGGAATTCTGTCAACATCTCTTGGCCTTGTTTCTTCAGAGGAGCTCACACAATGCTGACATGTGTTAGTTGACAAATAATTAAATCAGTTATATTTCAATATAAAAAAAATCTGGGGCCAGCAATGTGGTACAGCAAGTTAAGCTGAAGCCTATGATGCTAGCACCCCATATGAGTGTGGGTTCAAGTCCCAGCTGCTGCAGTTCCAATCCAGCTCCCTGCTAATGTACTTGGGAAGGCAGTAGAAGATCGCCCAAGTACTTGGACCCCTGCCACCCATTTAGGAGACCAAGATGGAGTTTAGGGCTCCTGGCTTTGGCCTGGCTCAGTTCCAGCTATTGCATCCACGTAGGGAGTGAGCCAGCAGAAAGACGATCTCTCTCTCTTTCCCTCTCCCTCTTTCTGTAACTCTACCTTTTGAATAAAATAAATAAATCTTTAAATATATATATATATATATATATATGTAAGGATGACCCACTTTGTCCCAGAAACAGCATTAAAACTTTTTTTTAAATTTGATTTTCATTTTATTCAAAAGGAAGAGAGATGGAGACAGATAGGGATCCTCCATCCCCTGGTTCACTTCTCAAATGCTTGCAACAGCCAAGGCTGAGCTAGAACAAGGTCAGAAGCTGGGAACTGAATCTATATTTATTTAAGATTCATATATTTTATTTGAAAGACAGAGTTACAGAGAGAGGGAGGGAGAGACAGAGAGAGAGAGACAGAGATTGTCTATTTACTGGTTCATTCCCCAAATGGCTGTAACAGTTAGAGGACAGAAACCAGGAGCCAAGAGCTTCTTCCAGGTCTTCCATGTGCGTACAGAGGCCCAAGCACTTGGCCCATTTTCTAGTGCTTTCCCAGACCATTAGCTGAGAGCTGGATGGGAAGTGCAGCAGCTGGGAATTGAACCAGTGCCCACACGGATGGCAGCGCTTCAGATGGTGGCTTAAGCCACTACACCACAGCGCTGTCCCCAGAAGCAGGAGAAACTCATTCTAGGTCTTCCACATGCATGGCAGGGACTGAAGTGCTTGAGCCATCACCTGCTACCTCCCAGGGCACACAGTAGCGGGAAGCTAGAATTGGAAGTAGAACTAGTACTTGAATCCAGGCACTCCTATATGGGATGTGAGCATTGTAAGTGGCATTAGCTGTTATACCAAACATTGACCCAACAAAGTCTCTACACCTGCAGTGAAATAGAAGTGGATTGCAGACACACACACATTCTCTCTCTCTTTCTCCCCCTCCCTCTCTACCTCCCTTCCTCCTTCATAGGTATAAATGCTATATAATTTTTTCCAAAATATGCAAATCAAACATGTATGCCTATTTTTTATTTTAAAAATTTACATTAGGTGCCAGCACTGTGGCACAGGTTATCCTCCGCCTGTGGTGCTGGCATCCCATATGGACACTGGTTCTAGTGCCAGCTGCTCCTCTTCCAATCCAGCTCTCTGCTATGGCCTGGGAAAGCACTGGGCCCAAGGCCTTGGGCCCCTGCACCTGTATGGGAGACCTGGAAGAAGCTCCTGGCTCCTGGCTTCAGATCGGCCCAGCTCCGGCCGTTGCAGCCATTTAGGGACTGAACCAGCAGATGGAAGACCTCTCTCTCTCTCCCCCTCTCACTCTACCTGTTAAATTAATAAAATCTTTTAAAATTTTTACATTAAAAACTATCTTGAAACAAATTGCAAAATTTTGATGGCAGTTAAATTTGAGTGATGCGTTCATAAAAGTTCATTATAAAATAAAAGTTCATTATATTATTATTTCTATTTTGGTGTATTATAACAATTTCCAAATGTAAAATTTTAAGATAAAATAAGGTGAGGGGAATATTTTATATTTAAAAGTAAGAGAAAATAAAACAACCATCTCAACATAATTCTCTTCTTAAAGGCTCTGTAGAAATTCTTGAGCAAAATTTAGTAAGAAAACGGCAAAAACAGCTGTGAAAAAGCCAGCACTCACATGATTAATAGCTAAGCTCCTGGGCCAACAGACTGTTGCAATGCTTTCTTGACTATCAGCAAGGTCACAGGGTTTCATAAGCACGTTTAAGAAGACTAAATGTTAAGACTCTTCTGTCCAATCCCACCCCAACGTCTTCCAGGCTAAGTGCAATATTTTGAAATGGAAACACTAGCAGGAGCCTGTTTAGCTTGTCTTGGTTTTATAGAAGCAAAATCTTCAGAGATCAGAATTGATTTTTTTCTTTTGGTTAAAAAATGCAGAATTTTTAAAAGCCCTCTTTGTTGAAGTCAAACTGCAAGAAAATGGCATACCAAAACTTCCACTATGTAACATAGCGAAATTTCTGCAAAGTCTCCTGGCTAAAGTAATAGCCATGCTTTACTGTTAATAAAGAACACAATAAAGAGAATTAGAAAAATATAAATCTGTTATTTTCCATCACTTTATCCTCCCATAGGCCCCCCCAAATTTAAAAGAATGGTCTTAATTTTTAAAGCCAAACGAAGGATTGAGATAAATATTACAGATAACTCTTTGACATTCCATTGTACTATTTTAATTAAATATTACTATAAGAAGACTTTTTTGGTGCATACCTACTACAGTGCCAGAAACATACCAGATATTTATCACCAATCATTCCATTTAATTCTCCCATCAACTGTGCTAGGTAGGTATTCCTAAATCCATTTTACAACTGACGAAACAGAAGCTCAGAGAAATTTGCCCAGCACTCCATAGCTGATAAGTGTCAACTTTCAAATCTAATCTGCCTGATTCGAGCTAGTGCATTTGAATCCCATTCACAGATGCCCAGTTCCTTTCTTTCTTTTTTTTTTCTTTTTTCCTTTTTTTTTTCCTTTTTTTTTTTTTTTTACACGCAGAGTTAGACAGAGAGAGAGAGACAGACAGAGAGAAAGGTGTCTTCCTTCCATTGGTTCACCCCCCAAATGGCCGCTACGGCTGGTGTGCTGCGCCGATCCGAAGCCAGGAGCCAGGTGCTTCCTCCTGGTCTCCCATGGGGTGCAGGGCCCAAGCACTTGGGCCATCCTCCACTGCCTTCCCAGGCCACAGCAGAGAGCTGGACTGGAAGAGGAGCAACCGGGACAGAATCCGGCGCCCCAAGCGGGACTAGAACCCGGGGTGCCAGTGCCGCAGGCAGAGGATTAGCCTAGTGAGCCGCAGCACCGGCCCAGATGCCCAGTTTCAATGAAAAAGAACACTCCATAACTGCAAAACCCATGTACGGCACTGGTATTTGTGCTGACTCAGCAGATATTTGACTGTTCAAAGACTAAAAAAACAGTGTGCAGATTTTATTTGTCTACAAAAATCTATGAACCATTTACGTCAATTCATATATTAAACAGGATTCTCCATATGTGCCTAAGATTTTAATTTTAACTTTATTTTTTTAAGATTTATTTATTTATTTGAAAGTCAGAGTTACAGAGAGAGAGAGAGGCAGAGAGAGAGAGGTCCTCCATCCAATAGTTCATTCCCCAGATGGCCGCAAAGGCTGGAGCTGTGCCGAACCGAAGCCAGGAGCCAGGAGCTTCTTCTCCTATACAGGTGCAGGGGCCCAAGGACTTGGGCCATCTTCTACTTCTTTCTCAGGCCACAGCAGAGAGCTGGACTGGAAGAGGAGCAGCTGGGGTCTCGAACCAGTCAGTGCCCATATGGGATGCCAGTGCTTCAGGCCTGGTCCCAATTTCAATTTTCTTAAAACGTTGGGTGTTCCATTGCAGTGGTGTTAAGTCACATATATGCTCCCTTGATCCTCTCATTTAGAGTTCAAGTAAATTAGTGATCCCAGTTATTCATGTAATTAGCTAAGGCACAATACCTACCTTATTATTATTATTATTATTTTTTTTGACAGGCAGAGTGCACAGTGAGAGAGAGAGACAGAGAGAAAGGTCTTCCTTTTGCCGTTGGTTCACCCTCCAATGGCCGCCGCGGCTGGTGCGCTGCGGCCAGCGCACCGCGCTGATCCGATGGCAGGAGCCAGGTACTTATCCTGGTCTCCCATGGGGTGCAGGACCCAAGCACTTGGGCCATCCTCCACTGCACTCCCGGGCCACAGCAGAGAGCTGGCCTGGAAGAGGGGCAACCAGGACAGAATCCGGCGCCCCGACCGGGACTAGAACCTGGTGTGCCGGCTCCGCAAGGTGGAGGATTAGCCTAGTGAGCCGCGGCGCCGGCCAATACCTACCTTATAATCCATACCCATCTTCATTAGGACCTGGGATACACCTAACGGGAAAAACAGGATCTCCTGATCAGACAGTTCAAATTAAGTGATGGAAATGGCCATGGAGAAGAAGTGCTAAAGACAGTGTCTACAATCACAACAGCATTGTTGGCTATGAGTCAGGTGAAAACCTATTTATAGGCTACAACTGGTATTCTAAAATCTTCAAGAGAGCAATATTTACTTTTTCCAATCATTAAGCAGAAAAAGTTATACTTAGTGAATGATTAACAGGAGCTTAAATAAATGTAATTATAAATGCTCGTAGAATAATATTGTGATCCTATTTAAACAGCTTGATTTGATAATAAACACTCTCATACATGGAAAATTAGGCCTAAACGGGAGACCAGAAAATATTGTAAAGAGTGGAAATGAACTTAGGGAAACTTTATATTCGTTTATGGCATAAAATAAGTCATTTAGTTACATTTATAAATTCTTACAGGGAACACAATATGTAAAAAAAATCTATGAAAGAAAAAAGGTATGATTGACAACAACTCTGATGCTGAGTAGGAATGCTGAGAATAGATCAGAAACTTCCAACTTATTAGCCAGTAAAGCGTGACTCACAGAATTGAAGAAGCCCTTGGTGACCTAGTGATGTTACTTGACAATGTTTTGGAGGAATCCCGAGGCTGATAAAAGCTAGGATCTTGCAGCATCTGAGGGCTTTCATTGCTGGGTTCTTCTCGCTGTTCTGTCGGAGCTTATGTGACTGAGTCTGAGAGCAAGGGCTGGGGCTAACCGGCAGCAGCTCTTCTTTCGTGTGCTTCCTCCTTCCACCTTGGTTTGAACAGCACCATATCACTGAGAAAAAAAAAAAAATCCTTTAATACAGATTGGAGTCCAAGTAACTAATTTTTATAGTCAAGTCCCTATTTTTTCCTTTGGGATTTCTAGTATTTGAGGGAAACTGAAAAGTGATAGCATGGGACAAGAAGTCACTGCCGAAAATTCGCTTTCAACCAGTTCTCTTGACTTTTTAAATAGCAAAATAATGCATTTTTATCGCAAAACATTCAAACGATACAGAAGGACATTAAGCTAAAAACGAAAGGTGTCTTTCCTTACACCCTGGTCCCATGCCCTAGAACTACTAACAGCGACTTGTTCAATGTTCAATTTTCTATGGATACATAAACACACATGTAATACTTTCATAAAATTTTAATTGTATTATTACAATTCATTTGGGATATTTCTGATTAAGCAAAATATAAAGGAGGCTATTTTTATTTTAATTTTTAATTTTTGTTTATTTGAGAGGCAGAAAGCCAGAGAGAGAGAGGAAGGTGGGGCTCCCATACCCTGTTCACTTCCCAAACGCCCGCAATGGCCAGGGCTGGGCTGGAACTCAGTCTGGGGCTCCCATGTGGGTGGCAGGAACCAATCATCTGAGCCACCACTGCTGCCTCCCAGGGTCTGCATCAGCAGGAAGCTGGAGTCAGCAGCAGAGGCAGGCATCAGGCCCGGCACTGTGGTGTGGAATACAGGCATCTTAGCTGCCAGGCCGGCTTGCTTCTGTGGCTCACACAGCATCTCCAGGGCAGAAACTATCATGCTCACCTTTTTTTAGACATGTCTGCTATGGTGCTGTATTTCTTAGCTAAATGTTTCCAGACTTGATTTTAAGTAAATAATCAAAGTAAATGGGTGAAGAGTGAAAAAAGGGATAAAATAATCACCAGAGATTGAAGGAAAGTTAGAAAAATCAAAATGATTTCCAGAGGCAGGCATTTGGCCTAACAGTTAAACCCACCAGCAGGGATGCTTACATCTCTCCTAGCAGAGTGGCTCAGGTCTGAGTCCTGGCTCTGCTGATGTGCGCCCTGGGACGCAGCAGGTGATGGCTCAAGTGGTTGGGTGCCTGTCACCCATAGGAGAGACTTGGACTGAGTTCCTGCTCCTAGCTACGGCCTGGCCCAGTTCTGGCTGTTGCAGATAGAAACCGTCTACATATGTCTACAGTGTCTCTCCCTCTCCTTCTCTCTTCCTCCCCTCTTGCCTCACAGATTTAAAATAATAATAAGTTTATTTATATATTTATGTATAAATAATAATAATAGATAATTTATCTAAACAGTTTTGGCTAACCTGTGTAAGAAACCTGTGTATAGAAACCTGCGTTTCTATAAGGAAAAAACGCAACCGAACAGAAAGTCATGCTGAATTGTCTACTTGGTCAGTACTGGGGTGGCGCTCCAGCTGGTGTGGTGGGGTAAAAGGACAATCAAAACCTCCAATGCCTCCTAAGTGCTTCTTAGAGGCTTTCTCAGGCCACTGTTCCTTGTTCTGGGGCGTCTGTTCCACATCCCTTGTACTTTCACAGTGTGTTCAATCACCTTCATGTCTAAGGTGAAAAGGTGTTTTAAAGGCACGTAATTTAATTTGCATGACATCCTATAAATGACTAATATACTAAGTCCCTGAAGGACTTAACTCTAACTCCACCTTTGCCATCTCCTGACACCTTGAGCAACTCACTTTGGGGGGTGGGGGTGCAGGGTTTGGCCTCTCCATCTATAATGGAAATTTTTGTCCCATTGGACAAAATAACCTCTGAGGTCCATCGTCTACTTCTGATTGGCAGGCAAGAGCACAGACCGAGGAGCAATGCAGCCTGGGTATCCCCCTCCTGAAATTGGATGCGTTCCCTAATCTGTCCACCCCCTCGGCTTCCTCACCTCTGAAGTGGGAAGGGGCCAGTGTCCGGCATAGCAGGTAAAGCCGCCACCCACAAACCCAGAATCCCATCTTCTGGTCTCTCATGTGGGTGCAGGAGCCTAAGCAGTTGGCCCATCTTCCACTGCTTTCCCAGGCACATTAGCAGGGAGCTGGATCAGAAGTGGAGCAGCCGGAACTCAAACCGGCACCCATATGGGATACCGGTGCTGCAGGTGGCGGCTTTAACTGCTTCGCTACAGCGCCAGCCCCTATGTTAGTTCTTACTGTTTAGATCATTGAATTTCAATGGTTCTGAATTTAACCACCACTATTTTGTATTTGGTCATGAAAGTCTCTCCTAAGATCCATATAACTATTACTTGAAGGTGGTGCTGCCCTAAATACTATGGGAGCACTGCGCCCCTGCCTTTTCATTCTGAAATTGGCCTTGGAGTGAAGATTACCATCCTCAAGGGAAGAGAGTCAAGTGTAGGGGTGGTGCCTAAGAGATAGTCTCTGACAGCACTGAGGAAAATATCTAATCCCAACGCTACTGGTTAGAAAAAAAAGAGGCACAAAGCATTAAACAAAAATGCTACATGCTGTACTAGACAACTGGACAAATACAATGGTTTTCAGAACATCCCACTGTGCTAGCAGGTCTTCCATGACCTTTCCAGGTAGTTTGGAATTCCATTCATGTGTGGATATTTTTCTCTCGGTATTTAAAAGTGGGATAAGGTGGTAGGCATTGTGGCCCAGCAGGTTAAGCCACTGCGTGGGCCATCTGCATCTGTATCAGAGTCCCTGGGTTCAAGTCCCACCTCTAACCCAGCGGCCTACAAATGCATGCCCTGGGAAGCAGCAGATGATGGCTTAAACACTTGAGTCTCTGCCACCCACATGGGAGACCTGGTTTGAGTTTCTGACTTCTGGCTTCATCTTGGTCCAGCCCTGGCTCTTGCAGGCTTTTGAGAAGTGAACCAGCAAATGGAAGATTTCTTTCTTTCTCTCTCTCTCTTTATTGTTCTGCCTTTCAAATACATTTTTTGAAAGTACGCTCCTTCTAGGACTCTAGATCTCTTAATAACCAAGTACAGCAGAAAGAAAATATAATTTTACAACAGTACCTTGGGGCCCATGTCGAATGGCCTTTCTCCAACAGTTTCAAAATGAGAAATAGCAGCACACTGAGAAAGCGGGATGGTACTGTCAAGTGATTGGAAAGGCCTAGATCCCACTCCTAGCTCTGCCACTCTCTGGCCTCTGTAAACTTCAATGTCTTCTCTAAAATGGGAAGAATAAAGCCTGCTTGCTGAAACTCTACTGCCAACACTGCCTAGCAGGTGGCCAACCAACTGGCTGATCCATTGAGGCCGTTCGTTCAGCAAGTGCTCTACAGCACGAGGCCCTTCCCTTCCCTGTGAGCAAAGAAGACACTGCCCCTGCACTCAAGAAGTTCCTAAGTGGACAGGTGTTTGGCCTAGCAGTGATGCCAGTTGGGATGCCCTCAGGCCACATCGGACTCCTTGGGTTTAATGCCCAGCTCCAGCTCCTGGCTCCAGCTTCCGGCTAAGGGGACCCTGGGAGGCAGTGGTGATGGCTAAGTAATTGGGTCCCTGCCGCCCATATGGAAGGTGAGTTCCTGGTTCCTGGATTCAGCCCTGACTTGGCTCCAGCCAAGCCCCAGGCCCAGCCTTTGTAGGTTTGGGGAGTGAACAAATGGATGGGAGCTTTCTCTTCTCCCTGTCTGTCTCTCAACTAAATAAGCTCATGAGCCAGGAGTGGATCTACAGTTTGTGGACCTGAAGCTTCTAAAATCTGGAGGCCCTCTTTCAGGAAAAACATACAAACTTATGAATGCAGAAGTTGACACAAATGCAAAGATTTAGAATGAGAAAAAATATCACAAAAAATTACTACAGCCTTTGAGATTCAGATTCCTATGGCCCTTTTAATGAATTTGCTAGAAATGCTTACCTAGCAATGCTTCCAACAGCAACTTGGCTCCCCAGCCTGCCCAAACCATTCAGTGAGGTCCTGGGCCAGTAAGGGACCCGAAGCTTAAGCGCCATTAGGCCAGTGGTAACTCCGCCTTTGCTGTAGGCCCTGAAAGTATAGGTCTCCATTTTAAAATAGTAGGGGCAGGGCTGGTGCTGTGGTACAGTAGGTTAATCCTCCACCTGTGGTGCTGGCATCTCATATGTGCGCCGATTCTAGTCCCAGCCGCTCCACTTCCAGTCCAACTCTCTACTATGGCTTGGGAAAGCAGTAGAGGATGGCCCAAGTCCTTGGGCCCCTGCACCCACATGGCAGACCAGGAAGAAGCACCTGGCTCCTGGCTTCAGATCAGTTCCAACCATTGTGGCATTTGGGGCGTGAACCAATGGGAGGAAGACCGTTCTCTCTGTTTCTCCCTCTCACTGTCTGTAACTCTACCTCTCAATAAATAAATAAATAAAATCTTTAAAAAAAAATAGTGGGGGCTTTGCAATGGCCAGGTGGTTCCTACATTGACCTCCCTTAACTCTTTATTCCTGAATCCTGGGCAAAGGCTTCCAGTCACAAGCCCAGGCATTTGAGCTTCAGTTACACCCTAAGGTATGGTCCTTTTGCATGGAAAAATTATAACCAGGACCACTGTTGTTAATAACATAGAGCTCAAAACATCATTCCAACCTCTACAAAGTTGTCCTCAGGCAAAAGAACTTGGGTAACTCAGCTATTTACCAATATTGATTTCTTCGAACCTCGCGTCTAAACAGGGAATCCCACGGATGGTCTGTTTAATTTAATTACGAACTATATTCCAGACCTTTAGTCCTTTGGATTGCCAGGTGTAGATTCTGGCTTAACTGTTAGTTAAATTTGGTACTATTACAAGTGGATTTAGAATTCTATACTAAAAGAATCCTTGTTTTGAAGGGACAAATATGTTAGAGGTGAGTTTTTTTTTTAATTTTTTTTTTTTAATTTTTTTTGACAGGCAGAGTGGACAGTGAGAGAGAGAGAGACAGAGAGAAAGGGCTTCCTTTGCCGTTGGTTCACCCTCCAATGGCCGGCGCACCGCGCTGATCCGATGGCAGGAGCCAGGAGCCAGGTGCTTTTCCTGGTCTCCCATGGGGTGCAGGGCCCAAGCACCTGGGCCATCCTCCACTGCACTCCCTGGCCACAGCAGAGAGCTGGCCTGGAAGAGGGGCAACCGGGACAGAATCCGGCGCCCCAACCAGGACTAGAACCCGGTGTGCCAGCGCCACTAGGCGGAGGATTAGCCTAGTGAGCCGCGGCGCCGGCCAGAGGTGAGCTTTTACACGATTTTTATAGGGAAATCTTGAAACAACACAAATTGAAATAAATCAATAGCTTATTAGAATGACTTGAAAATATGAGAAAAACTTATTTAAGTGTAATTACTGAGTTCAGAGAAAACATGAACATTGGACCACTAACAATGGGATGGGTAAATATTTTCTTTATAAAAGGTGGTAACTTTTGTGAATATTTAAATTCTCCGCTAAGAATAATGAAGGTAAAGTTGTTTCCATGACAACAGTCCCAGAAAACTTTTTAAGGAAACAGTAGTTACATGATTTGTAGCAACTGCATACCTTAAACACCCAATAAATACTTGTGGGGTGTGAGACGGAGGCTAATCTGAAAGAATAGTATTGTAACCAGCATAAAACTTGAACTAACACAAAAAAGTTCTATGTGGCTACAACATGAATCAAACTGAAATTAATCCCAGCCTGAAAGGACAAGGAATACAACTCAATCACCTGCAAATAATCAATGAAGACAAACATATGTAACCAGGACACTGGAGCAGTCAGGGCTTCAGAGCTACCTGCCAAACGCCCTTCATGCCCACACAGACTTTTACCCTCATTTGCACAGCAAGTTAAATTACCTTCTGCTTTCTCTTTCAAAGCATGTCACATCAACATGTGTGTGGTTTCCATGGGGTCTTCACATGCGAAGACTTCAGAGAGCTCATGGAAAATGCACACGATGGAACAAACATGCATGCATTTCAAAGGTTTTTTGCACCAAAATAAGCTTGTATTTTAATCATTCGATTTTACTACATGCTTTTCGAATTACTTTTGTATTGTTTCTTTCCGTCTTCACCACAGTTATCCGAGTGTTTAATGTTTAGCTCAGTAGAGTGAAGGAGGGAACTGAATTCTCAGGAGGAAAATGATTTGTCCAAGATGGCAAAGCCGGTTAGTCAGGAGCCAGTGTCAGAACCTAGGTGTCCTGTGCTGAAAGCCAGCGTCATCCCCCTCTAGGGCCATGTGGGTGAGCAGCACCTTGATGTTGTTCTCCAAGGCCATTAACCTGCCAATAGAACTGTGTGACGTCTAAGAAGACTCACACCACAGTACGAATCTGGGAATATTGAAAACAACACGGTCTGTTTCTGGAATAAAAGAAAGAAAACAATTCAAATAAATGTAAAACTACATGTCCAAAGTTAGTTGTTGCAACATTATTTATGACAGGTGGAAAAAAAAGAAAGAAGAAAAAAAGCTCATTTCTAGAAAAGAGAGAGATGATGAAGAATGTCATATTTCGTCAAGTTGGTGCTTTGCAGCACTGTCAGGATCAGTATGAAGACTAAAAACAACATGAAAACCACTTGATTGTAGCTAGAAAATGTTATTTGGGAAGGTTGGTGGGGAATGCAGAAATTTGTAAATATTTCATTAAGGTTGTGAGTTATTAAAAAAATTCTCTTTCACCTTTTATTCACTACTTTGTTAAAGAGCTTCAATAGTCAACTTTACAGTTCACATGAAGATATTATGTGGTTACAGCAATGACCAGTTTGGAAATCTGTTAGCAATGGTTGCAGGCCATCCAAGACCCATGTATGATGCATTAGGTTTGTTCACCTGTCTACAACCCATCCTTCCCACTGGTGGCCAGCGGTGTCTTCCTGACCTCTAACCCTGTCTCCACCTCTGTTTTGAAAGTTGTGCCTGCTATCTTATTTGCTTCCTCTCATGCACCAGAATTTATCTGAGTCTACATTTCCAAGGGCATCAAAGGGAGCAGCCATGTAGGACTTGAGGGGGAAGAGAATGGGCTACTAGGCCCCCAGCTGTCTCTCGATGACATAGGCCCTGATAGCCAGCTCAACACGAAAAAGCAGCTCATTTCCCCTTTAAGCTATGGAATCTAAGGAACAAAGGTTGAAGCTCCCTTAAATCAATCATTCCAAAGGTTAGATGGCCTTGTACAAGGTAGAGGGTAACCCTGGAAAATGGGAGAATGGCTGTTGTGCAAGGTGGCAGGGCCCGGGTTGCATTGCCTTACCAAGCCCACTTTAGTTTTTTCTCACCAGGCGTCCTTTATGAGCATCAGACCAAAGAACGCCCATAGATAGCGCTGTTTCGTCAAGATTGATGTCGAGTTATAACCGTGAGTGCTGTACAGACAACCTCCCCCACATTCCCTACGTGAGAATGGAGAGGCTTTCTTCAGCTCAGAGCACAGATAACCCTAGATACCTTGATAGCCTAGGCAAACAGCAGCAAAGGTGACAGAGACCCAGTGGAACATGAAGGTCACCTTGGGGTGTGACAATGCCTGCATGTGTGTAATCCGAAGACTTACTTGAGAAGTATTGCAGAGTCATACCTGTTGTCTTCTAAGATACCACCAGTTCACATTCAAAGGCTGACATCACCAAGACTTTATCACCATTTGGGTTCTCTCTCAATAATCATAGAAATATGCAATAGAACATCTATTCTGAAGATGCCTCCTCCCCGCCCCCGGCCCCCTGCTTGCAGGACTAATGAACTCCCATTAGGACCGGGTTAATACATTTACCCTGATGCCATCTCACTCTCCCTTTAGTGTCTGGGGACCTAGCAAAGCAGCTAGGTCATGGCTCAGAATCTTGCAGGTGCTCAGTGCTCTGCTGGTCCCGCATCAGGGGCATCCAACTGCCCTGACAAGAAGTGCCGATCGCTGTGTCTTCTACGGATAGGAGCAAAAGGCTCCCAGGGGTGAAGAGACCCCTAGAATAAAGCAGAGTGCCCCCCCCCCAACTTTGAATCCCAGCAATGCACAATTGTTTTTGTTTGGAATCAGAAGGTAGAAAAGCAGCTCTCGAGACTTTCCACTGGATAGTCCTGGAAAATTCCAGAATGCATGGCTGAGACCATTTAAGGCAGAAGCTGCCCGGGGCTGCCCTATGATTCCTTTCTGTAGCTGTACTCAGGCTGGGGGCAAGGCAGGAGGCCCTGGTAGAGCACTTCTCTGGGAGGAAAGCATTGCTAAGGAGCCTGGGGAACATGTGGGCGATCAGTGATTCCAGACCCTTCCAGGGAAAAGCAGCAGGGACAGGCAGGTAAAGGTAACACCTCGAGGAGTCTGCCCTGCAGGGAAAGTGTTACGTGAGCTTTTCCGGCATACAGCCGGGCAGCACCAGTTTTGGAATCCTCACCCCTACCATCAATGCCTACCTGCCCCACCCAGACAGGATTCATGGAACACTTTTGGTGTCTTCAAGCTCTCTCAGGTCTGCATTCATTGCCCACATTTGCTTGCTTTTCACCTACAAAAAGGCAGTTTCAGATCAGTTCATTCTGATACAAAACATTTCCAGTGAGGAGAAAAAAAAAGCTAAGGAATAAAACTGAAAGCAAACTCTGTTGTTTGAAAGTAATTAATGTTTAGAGCCAGCGCTGTGGTGCATTGGGTAAAGTCACTGCCTGAAGCACCGGCATCCCATATGGGTGCTGGTTCGAGACCCGGCTGCTCCATTTCTGATCCAGCTCTCTGCTGTGGCCTGGGAAAGCAGTAGAAGATGGCCCAAGTGCTTGGGCCTCTGCACCTGTGTGGGAGACCCGGAGGAAACTCTGGGCTCCTGGTTTTGGACTGGCACAGCTCCCGCCATTGTGGCCATCTGGGGAGTGAACCAGCAGATTGAAGATCTCTCTCTCTCTCCCTTTACCTCTCTGTAACACTGCCTTTCAAATAAATCAATACATATTTAAAAAATGATAATTAAGGTTTGTGCATCTGTTTTAGATATAGATACGAAATAGAAAAGCCGGTGGGGTTGGGGGATTTGTTGTTATCAGAAGATTCTTCAAGCAATTTCTGTGTCAACCAATACAGATGTCTGTCTTTCTTCATTTGATGAAGGTCAAGGATCCAAACTTTTCCGAAAAGCTAAAGAGGCACCATTCATCCCCACAGGAATGGGGCAGGTTTTGCAGCAATTGGTGTATGCAGATTATACAAACTGAAGAGCAGGGGAAGTGCTAAAATGTCCCCGCACCGGATCCACATGCCGCACCTGATCTGTATGCACGCGGCAGCTCAGGCTTTGCTGTAGCCTCGAGTGGACTAGTCCATGTTTTAGGGATTCTGGGCGAAACCTAAACCTCAAAGGGAGAGACTGCAGCTTGGCCTTGTTGGAGATGCTTCCATATTCCATCTCATATTGAGGCTCCTTGTCATACTGAAAATAAGTAATTCAAGTAGATTTACACAATAACACATGGTATTTTGAATACTGACTTTTCTTGCAGGCTTGATTTGCCTGGTGACCAAAATATTAGTGACTAATAGGTCATGAAAGGGGAGTCAAGTTAACATAATGTCGTATTTTCCACCTGGTGTAAAAATGTCCCCCTTCCAAAGTCCCTGCGATGAATGTAATCCTAAAGAACTCAGCAGGCCACCCTGGAATTCACTCCCTGTTTGCTGCAGAATGTCCCGTGCTCTGGGTGTTGGGTAGGAGTCCTGTCTACTACCCCAGTTAATTCACTTTTTTTCCGCCTTCCTCATAAACTGGTTGTCTCTTGAAGAACTCTTTTTTGAAAAGTTCATGGAACACAACTTGTAAATCCTCCCACGCCTGAGGGGTGTGTGTGTGTGTGTGTGTGTGTGTTTAAAGGAAAGCCAGCAAACTTCTAAGACAGCTGCATAGTAGTATTTCAGAATCACACTTGTAAGTGTGAAACTAGTTATGGATTCCAGTTTAGCTCTTTTGCAATTGTAGAATTACATTTTTGCTGTTGTTATATTAGAATAATTTCTAAATGTCATGCTGAAATAGAAGCATGTATTTTAACAGCTGATACAAAGGTAAATGAACACTTTTAAAAATGTGTGCCGTATGTTTTATTTTCTCAGACTCACAAATATGAAAAATCACCTATAGTGGAAGTGATTAATAGTTTATGAGCAAGTTGATTGGTCACACATTATGCACAAATGTTGATATGCTACAGAATACATTATTGTACTTGTGAAATTCTCCTGTGTAACAGTCTGTGGGGATAGCATGGTCTGCATATTGTTATTAAAGCAAGTGAGGGAGCCGGCGCTGTGACCTATCAGGTAAAGCTGCCACCTGCAGTGCTTGCATCTCATATGGGTGCTGGTTCAAGTCCCGGCTGCTCCATTTCCAATCCAGCTCTCTGCTATGACCTGGGAAAGCAGCAGAAGATGGCCCAAGTCCTCAGGCCCCTGCACCCACATGGGAGACCTGGAAGAAGATCCTGGCTCCTGGCCCAGCCCTGGCCATTGTGGCCATCTGGGGAGTGAACCAGTGGATGGGAGACTTCTCTTTCTCTCTGCTGCTGCCTCTCTGTAACTCTGCCTTTCAAATAAGTAAATATATCTTTAAAAAAATAATAAAGTGAACACACTGAAAAAGAAAAAAGAAAAAAAAAGGCTCACATAGAGACTGAGAGACCTAGGGGGAGACATCAAGAGACCAGGAAATCCACTGTGAGAGGAAGCACGGTGGCCATGTCACAAGTCGGTGACGGCTGGGACAGACGAGTGACCTTGGCCTAAACTTCTTCATTGAAGTCCTTAGGGTTCACCCCTGCTTTGACTAAGGCTCATGACTCTTTGCTGAACCAGGCCCTCTGTCTTTGAGTTATTTTTTAATTTAATGTCTTATTTCATGCAGCTTTCTCTCACATGTCTCTTCTGCACACTCAGTCTGAGTTTCCCAATAGGGAACTTTCTGAGGTCAAGTTCCTGCGCTATAGATTTCAGTTTCTCAGGGTGGAACAAGCTAAGCATTGAGTAAGTGCTGAGTAAGTACCTGTTAAATCACTGGAAACCATCAAGAGGCTGTGTTACAAGACAGCTCAGTTGGAAATGCAAACTCTGGGAATGCATCCATTGGTACATCCATTGGTACTTCTTCCTCTGTGCTCTGGCTGATGCTACATGTTTCATGTATACATAAGCTCCAAACCTGACAAAGGACATCATTATTATTATTATTATTATGAACCTCATTCTGCAGCTGAAAATACCAAGAGATTTCAGAGAAGCTAAGTGTCTCACCTAAGGCCCCACAGTAAGAACTTGAGCTTCAAGTCCAGGCGAGCTGACTCTACACCTCAACTCTACACACTGTTTTTCCACTTTGGGCAGTGCCTGCCACCTTTGCAAAGCATTGCAATAATAGCTAAGGCTTGTGTGGCGTTTTCCCTGGGCTCAGCACTGTTCTGAGCCGGTTACGTATGTTAATTTATACAAACCTCACAACAAGCCTAGGAGGTGGGCTCTATTATTCATTTACAAGCTGTGGAGCCTGAGTTGTCTTGGACTTCTGAGTGAGGATCAAAGAGAGATTCTGTAGAACAGGAAAGAACACCACTCTGTGTCTTTTCAAGTGGAGGAGGAAATCCTATAATCCACCTGGTATCTCACCTGCACCCTGCCCCAGGAGAGCTCAGGAAGGGAGCAAGCAGAGAAGCGAGACAGAGCCTGCACTAGGGACTAGGGCCCTTTACCGACTCCTCAGCAACCAACCAGGAGAAGTCTGAGGCTGGAAGCACAGGAGAAATGAACACAGAGCAGCCTTTGTGGGCAGCCGGGGTGCTCGGCAGCTTCCTCCGAGTCCCCCTGTGCCTTGTTACTTTTGTCCGTGCAAAGACCCTCTCCCTGCCATGTTACAACCTTCGTCAAGACAATAAAGGGGCTCAATAGGCTAATCCTCCGCCTTGCAACGCCGGCACACCAGGTTCTAGTCCCTGGTCGGGGCGCCGGATTCTGTCCCAGTTGCCCCTCTTCCAGGCCAGCTCTCTGCTGTGGCCCGGGAAGGCAGTGGAGGATGGCCCAGGTGCTTGGGCCCTGCACCCCATGGGAGACCAGGAGGAAGCTCCTGGCTCCTGGCTTCAGATCAGCGTGATGCGCCGGCTGCAGCGCGCCGGCCGCGGCGGCCATTGGAGGGTGAACCAACGGCAAAAGGAAGACCTTTCTCTCTGTCTCTCTCTCTCACTGTCCACTCTGTCAAAAAAAAAAAAAAAAAAGGTTAATGGTTTTGTTCTTTCTTATTAGGCTCATTCAAAAGTCTGGCACAACTACAACAGGAATTTCCGTCCGCATCAGAAAGGCTGGCTGTCGATCACGCTGGGATCCCACTGGATTGAGCCAAACAGAGCGGAAAGCATCGTGGACATACTCAAGTGCCAGCAGTCCATGGTCTCGGTGCTGGGCTGGTTTGCCAACCCGATCCACGGGGACGGGGACTACCCAGAGGTGATGACAAAGAAGCTGCTCTCCGTCCTGCCCGCTTTCTCAGAAGCAGAGAAGAACGAGGTACGAGGCACCGCAGACTTCTTTGCCTTTTCGTTTGGACCCAACAACTTCAAGCCCTTAAACACCATGGCTAAAATGGGGCAGAATGTGTCACTCAATCTAAGACAGGTGCTGAACTGGATTAAACTGGAATATGGCAACCCTCGAATCCTGATCGCTGAGAACGGCTGGTTCACAGACAGTTACGTGCAAACAGAAGACACCACAGCCATCTACATGATGAAGAATTTCCTCAACCAGGTTCTTCAAGGTTGGTGACGCACTAGCTCAAGTTTTTAAAAGCTTTTTTCAAAAGATTTATTTATTTATTTGAAATGCAGAGTTATGAAGAGAGAGGGAAAGAGACAGAGAGCTTTTCCATCTGCTGGTTCACTCCCCAAATGGCCACAAAGTCAAGAGACAGGTGCTTTTTCCAGGTCTCCCACGTGGGGGCAGGGGCCCAAGCACATGGGCCATCCTCCACTGCTTTCCCAGGCGCATCAGCAGGGAGCTGGATCAGAGGTGGAGCAGCCAGGACTCAAACCAGATCCCACGTGGGATGCTGGCTCCGCAGGTGATGGCTTAACCTGCTATGCCATGCGGACGAGAGAGGTTTAAAGTTTCCTGACAGTGGTACTTTATCCTAAGATGCAGGAAGCTTATCTTGAAATCGCGTGACTGGAGAGCTCTGACCCCTGCTTATCTCCTCTTCCCTTCCCCATTACCCGAGCAGTGGCATCTCCAGGGGGCTGCCCCAAATAGTGGCGCACCCAACAAGCTCCGGTTGGGATGGGATCCAAGGGGATTCTCTGTGTGTCCTTCAATGCTGTGGCTCTCTCTAGAACTCATGAGTCCACAGGAAAATTCCCCCCTTTTGCAGAGAAATCCTCAGGGAGGTCAAGACCCTGCTGCTCCAAATTCCATGAAAGGAGCAGCATGAAACAAAGCCTTGGCAGCCACAGGACACGTGCACTTGGGGCCTCCAGGACAGAGGGCGTGGCCCGCAGAGCCTGGGTTGAATGCTACACACGTGGCCAGCATGGCATCCACTCCTGAGGGTTACCACTCTGCCTCTTCTCCGGACCCTACAGCACAAGGGCTAGAAACCAGGCCTGTTGAAATGTGCATATCTTCTTAGAGTCTCTTGGTCTGGATTTTCCACGAAAATCCAGGAAAAAAGAATTGTCAGGGATAAAACCCCGAAAAGGCACAAATGAGGCACGCCGAGCAGGGAAATGAAAGCTTTAAGAAAAATGATTTGGTTCTTGTTTTCACTGCTGCCGTTGATTTTCATTTCATTTTTAAACTACGAGCTCTTGAGCCAGCATTTTAACGTGAGGCTGCTCCTGCAAAGGCTGATTTTCCAGTCCTGTCCGTCTGTGAATGAGGAAGCTGAGGCCACGAAGCTTGCAAGTCCTGGGCCCTTTGTCTTCAGCACGGCCAGCTCTCCACCGCTCTGCCTCTTTGCCCTCCTTTTAGACCCACATTCGCTGATGTTAATTCTAAGAGCCAATTTTGGTCCCTGTACGATCATTTCCTACAATGCACAGTTTGTCCACAAACTGGAATCCATCCAAACTTGAAAGGAGAACTCCTGGGTCCTGAGCAGACATCTGCATTGGTCCCGAAGGATTCCAGAAACAAGCATGCCGCAGGACCCCGATTTGCACACTGAATCTTGAGAATATTTTATGTTTGTCCTTTGACTGTGACAGTCATTTCTCAGGAGGGGAGTTGGCGGGGGTGCCATTTTGGTGGAAAATAATTGCATTTTCTGTTTGATAGAACACATAGGCTAACAAGAAAAAAAAAAAAAGTCGGTTACACAATAGGCAGTCCCCTGGCAGGAGCTGGTGTTGAGACCTCTGACCATCCTGGTTTCCTTTCTCTGTGCAGCAATAAGGTTGGATGGAGTCCGAGTGTTTGGCTACACTGCCTGGTCTCTCCTGGATGGCTTCGAATGGCAGGACGCTTACAACACCCGCCGTGGACTGTTTTATGTGGACTTCAACAGTGAACAGAGAGAAAGAAGGCCCAAGTCCTCGGCGCATTACTATAAACAGGTCATAGGAGAAAACGGCTTCACGCTCAGAGAGGCCACCCCGGATCTGCAGGGGCAGTTTCCCTGTGACTTCTCCTGGGGCGTCACCGAGTCTGTTCTTAAGGTGAGTGTCCGCTTCTACACTGACCACTAAGTGGGGCACACAGCACCCGGGACTTCCTTTGATTTGCTCAGGGACAGTGGAGACCCGGTCATCGTGGTTATCTGGAGAAAGAAGGAGAGTGAGGTAGAAGGACACAGATGCTCACAGGAGCCCTCTGTGGGCCAGGACTCACACTCATGAGAAAGACAAACAGGCCGCCCTCAAGGAGCGTGGCCCAGAGGGCTCTCACGGCCATTCCTGTGAGGCATTGGTTCACGGTGTCAACATTATAGGGAAATTTTTTTTTTAATTTTTTGGGGGGTTTTTGCCAATAGCACACTTTTTTTTTAAAACAACCTTTACTTAAATAATTAGTAGATTTGGGTCAGGACTTCCCAGTGGAGCCTCCCCACGTGTGTCATTCGTCACCACCTTCAGATGTTTTCTTGAACATCACCCTCCCATAAGGCCCCTCTCCACTTCCAGAATCATAACCCCGTCCCTCTCACCCCCATCCCTCTCTCCTGCCTCGTTTTCCCTCTCCACCGTGCATCACCACTTGAACCTTTTTCTTACTTATCACCTGTCTTCCCCTACTAGAACACAAGTTGTAGAGGGAAGAGCCCTTTGACACTTTGATGCCTGCTGTATGCCTTCAAGAGCAGCCCTGAGCACAGAGCAGCTCCTCACCCTTCAGAGCCAAAAGGAGATGAGCTCTCAGCACCAGTGAGGCCTCCCGCTACACAAGAGGAAAGAGACCAATCAACTTCCCCAGGACAACACCAACCCATGAAGGGCAGTCCTCGGGCCGCCAGATCACAGATGCTCTTTCCAAAATAACAACTAATTTAAAGTTCTTCCGTGATGCCAAGCATCTCTCTACTTTGGCTTAAAACCCCCTTGTGGTCGTTAAAGGGACTGAGGATTTGGGAGGCTACATCACGTGCCCAGGCTACCTAGGTCTGTCTCGGGACCACTGTGCTACGGGACCTCACAGCACCACACAATCGCCTATGGAAAGGCATCCAGGTGTACAAGGGATGGGGCCAGACAAAACGGTCCAAACCATGAGCAGGCAAAGTTCATAGGCTGTGAATCTCCACCTCTGTGGCTATTTAAACAAGCTCTAAGTAAAGGGTCAGAGGTGACAGAAGTTAGAGGCGCAGCATAAACACAGTGACTCAGCTTTGGCGCGCACCCCCTGCAAAGAAACTGACTGCAGTTCCTACCTCCTCCTGCAGGAGGCAGACACAAGCTCCTTTTCCTGCTACTGCCAATGGGTTCATAGTTTTCACTGCTTTGCTTTGCTCTTATTCTCTTTTAAATGTTTATTTATTTGAAAGGCAGAGTTATAGAGACAGGGGAAGAGAAAGAGAGAGAGAGAAATATGAGATCGTCCATTCATTAGTTTACCATTCATTGGTTTTACCATTGGTTACCATTCCCACACAGCTAGTGCTGGGCCAGGAGCTTCCTCCAGGTCTCCCATGTGGGTGCAGGGGCTAAAGCCCTTGGAACATCTTCCACTGCTTTCTCAGGCCATAGCAGAGAGCTGGATCAGAAGTAGAGCAGTCGGAACATGAACAGGTGCCCATATGGGATGCCAGGCATGGCAGGAGGTGCTTCACCCACTACACCACATCACAAGCCCCGCTCCTCCAATTCTTTTTTTTTTTTTTTTTTTTTTTGACAGATAGAGTTAGACAGTGAGGAAGAGAGACAGAGAGAAAGGTCTTCCTTCCGTTGGTTCATCCCCCAAATGGCCGCTACGGCTGGAGCTACACCGATCTGGTCTCCTATGTGGGTGCAGGGCCCAAACACTTGGGCCATCCTCCACTGCCTTCCTGGGCCACAGCAGAGAGCTGGACTGGAAGAGGAGCAACCAGGACAGAATCTGGCACCCCAACCAGGACTAGAACCTGGGGTGCCAGCGCCGCAGGCAGAGGATTAGCCAAGTGAGCCGTGGCGCCAGCCCCCCTCCAATTCTTTATTTTGAAAAATTCAAACTTGTACAGCAAATACACATATTCCCTTCATCAAGACTGAGCAAGTGCTGGCATGTCGTCACACTTGCTTTATCTCAGCCTCTCTCTTTCATGAACCACTGGTAAGTTAAAGACATTATTGAGGCGGTCAGTGCTGTGGTGTAGAGGGTAAGGCTGCCACCTGCAGTGCCGGCATCCCATGTGGGCACCTGTTGGAGACTCAGCTGCTCCACTTCTGTTCCAGCTCTCTGTTGTGGCCTGGGAGGGTGGTGGAGGATGGCCCGGGTCCTTGGGCCCCTGCATCTGCATGGTAAGACCCAGGGGAGGCTCCAGGCTCCTGGCTCCTAGCTTCTGGCTTTGGATCGGCACAGCTCCAACTGTTGCAGCCATCTGGGCAGTAAGCTGGTGGGTGGAAGACCTCTCTCTCTCTCTCTCTGCTTCTCCTCTCTCTGTGTGACCCTGACTTTCAAGTGAATGGATGAATCTTTAAAAGAAAAAGAAAAAGACATCACTGACACCCTACCCTCAAACATCCCAGCATCTTCTGTATCATGATACTATCATTATGATACTCAAGAAATGCAACATCAATTCGGTATTATCTAACATAGAATTGATAGTATATAGCATAGAACTCACAAATTTCCCTAAATGCTTCAAAAATGTCTTTTTATAGGTTACAAAATTCCTCTGCATCAAGAATGCAAAGATCCCACACTGGCTGACAACTATCTGTAGCCTCCTAAATTCAGAGTGATCCCCTAAGCCCGTGGTGCTGACATTTAAGAGTCCAGGCTAGTGGGGTGTAGAATGGCTCATGCTCTACGTTGCTCTGAAGGTTTCTTTATTAGACTCCATTTCTGCAGAGAATTCCACATCAGGGACATGTGCATTTCTCAGTGCATCACGTCAGGAGGTACATGACGTCAATTTGCCTCATTACTAAAGATGTTAATGTTGTTCAAGTAGCATAATCAAATTCCATGGTTAAGATGGCATTTACCAGACCTCTTAAGCACACAGCACCTTTTCCATTTTTTTTTAAAAGATGTATTTGAAATGCAGAGTTATACAGAGAGGCAGAGGGAGAGACAGAGAGAGAGAGATAAATCTTCCACCTGCTGGTTCACTCCACAAATGGCTCTAACGACTGGGGCTGGGCCAGGCCACAGCTAGGAACTTCTTCCAGGTCTCCTACGTAGGTGCAGGTGCCCAAGCACTTGTACCATTTTCTGCTGCTTTCCCAGGCCATTACCAGGGAGCTGGATTGGAAATGGAGCACCTGGGACACAAACTGGCACCCAGATGGGATGCTGGTGTTGCAGGTAGAGGCTTAATCAAAACACCGCAGCGCCGGCCCTTTGTTTATCATCTATAAAACAGGATCTTTTCTAATTGAAATTTATTTTGCTTTATAAATTTTCTTCTGAGCATAAACAATACTTATATATGTTGACTATAAACAGCTAGAACTAGGGGCCGGCACCGTGGCTCACTTGGCTAATCCTCCACCTGGGGCACTGGCATCCCATATGGGTGCCGGGTTCTAGTCCCAGTCTAGCTTCCAGTCTAGCTCTCTGCTGTGGCCCAGGAAGGCAGTGGAGGATGGCCCAAGTGCTTGGGTGGCTGCACCCCTGTGGGAGACCAGGAGGAAGCACCTGGCTCTTGGCTTCAGATCGGCGCAGCGCTGGCCGTAGCGGCCATTTGGGGGGTGAACCAATGGATGGAAGACCTTTCTCTCTGTCTCTCTCACTAACTCTATCTGTCAAAAAAAAAAAGCTAGAACTAAAGAAATGTCAATATTAACATTTTGATATGTATGTTATGTCATACACTTTGTGTATACCTATTTTCTATAGGTTTATGTTGGTTTTGTTTTAGCTAATGTTTTCATGTAATATCAATATTTAATTCTTTAAGACTGTAATGTGCATTTTTTTTTTTTGACAGAGTGGACAGTGAGAGAGAGAGAGAGACAGAAAGAAAGGCCTTCCTTTTCTGTTGGTTCACCCCCCATGGCTGCTGTGGCTGACGCGTTGCAGCCGGCGCGCTGCGCTGATCCGAAGGCAGGAGCCAGGTGCTTCTGCTGGTCTCCCATGCGGGTCAGGGCCCAAGGACCTGGGCCATCCTCCACTGCACTCCCGGGCCACAGCAGAGAGCTGGACTGGAAGAAGAGCAACCGGGACAGAATCCGGCGCCCTGACGGGGACTGGAACCCGGGGTGCCGGCGCCGCAGGCGGAGGATTAGCCTAGTGATCCGCGGCGCCGGCCTTGTAATATGCATTAAAAAAAAAAAAAAAAAGATTTTATTGGGTCGCTGGCCATGTAATGTTCATTTAAAAATAAAAAAGATTTTATTGGGTCAGCACTGCGGCTCACTAGGCTAATCCTGCCTGCGGTGCCGGCACAAGGTTCCAGTCCTGGTCGGGGCGCCGGATTCTGTCCCAGTTGCTCCTCTTCCAGTCCAGCTCTCTGCTGTGGCCCGGGAGTGCAGTGGAGGATGGCCCAGGTCCTTGGGCCCTGCACCCACATGGGAGACCAGGAGAAGCACCTGGCTCCTGGCTTCGGATCAGCGCAGTGCGCTGGCTGCAACGCACCAGCCGTAGTGGCCACTTGGGGGTGAACCAACGGAAAAAGGAGACCTTTCTCTCTCTCTAACTCTGTCTGTAAAAAATAAATTAATTTAAAAAAAGATTTTATTTATTTGGAGGTAGAGTTATAGACAGAGAGAGGGAGAGACAGAAAGGTCTTCCATCCGCTGGTTCACTCCCCAGATGGCTGCAAAGGCCAGAGCTAGGCCAATCTGAAGGCAGGAGCCAGGTGCTTCTTTTGAGTCTCCCACATGGTACAGGGACCCAAGCACGTTAGCAGAGATCTGGATCGGAAGTGGAGCAGCTGGAACTCGAACCAGCGATGCCCACACTGCAGGTGGCTATACCTGCTGTACCACAGAGCCCCAGCTGTTCTGTTTTTAATTAAGTCATTATCAATGATATTTGGAGACTATATGTACATGTTTCCCAATAACAATTCACTCAATGGTATTAATATTCATTTATGATCCCTGCCTTAAATATTACTTTAAAGATTGCAAGATGAGGGGGCTGGCACATGGTGTAGTGAGTTAAAACTGCTGCCTGCAGTGCCGGCATTCCATATGGGCACTGGTTCAAAACCCAGCTGCTCAACTTCTGATCCAGCTCTCTGATCTGGCCTGCAAAAGCAATAGAAGATGGTCCAAGTGCTTGGGCCCCTGCATCCTTGTGAGAGACCTGGAAGAAGCTCTTGGCTTTAGATCAGCCCAACTTTGGCCACTGGGGCCATTTGGGGAGTGAACCAGTGGATGGAGAATCTCTCTCAGCTTCTGCCTCTATGTAACTCCGTCTTTCAAATAAATAAATCTTAAAAACAAAAACCACACACACACACACACACAAATTGAGGGGCCAGCGCTGTGCACAGCAGGTTAAAGCCCCGGCCTGCAGTGCCAGCATCCCATATGGGCACTGGTTCAAGTTCCAGCTGCTCCACTTCCCATCCGGTTCCCTGCTAATGCACCTGGGAAAGCAGTGCAAGATGGCCTAAGTGCTTGGGCCCCAACACCCATGTGGGAGACCCAGAGGAAGCTTCTGGCTCCTGGCTTTGGATCAGCTCAGCTCTGGTTGTTGCAGCCATTTGGGGAATGAACAGTGGATGGAAGACCTCTCTCTGTCTCTCTTTACCTCTCTATAATTTGTCTTTCAAATAAGTAATACATTAATAATAAAAACATTTCAAGATGAGGAAATTTCTAGAGTGTTCCTTTTCCATTTATTGGCTGAATTCTTCAAGTTCAATGTTTTATAATTCATTATTGTCATTACATTATTCCTTTTGAAGTTCAAGTTGTTTCATAGTCAGTGGTCCTCCTTTAAGCTGCTCCCATGTCTTTTGACATTTCCCTTACTTCCTCATTCTCTGGCACAGTGGGGCCCAACATGAAAAACAGAGGCAGGCATTTAGTGTAGGGATTAGGATGCCACATGGGATACCCTCTTCTCAGAGTGCCTGTGTTTGATTCCTGGCTCCACTCCCGATTTGAGTTTTCTGCTGATGCACACCCCTAGAAGCAGCAGGTAATGGTTCAAATAGTTGGGCCCCTGCCACCCGTGTGAGAGAACCCAAGCTGATTTGAAGCCAAGAACCAGGAGCCTCTTCCAGGTCTCCCATGTGGTGCAGGGGCCCAAGGACTTGGGTCATCTTCTACTGCTTTCCCAGGCCATAGCAGAGGGCTGGATCGGAAGTGGAGCAGCCAGGACTCAAACTGGAGCCCAAATGGGATGCTGGCATTGCAGGTGGTGGCTTTACCTGCTATGCCACAGTGCCAGCCCCCACCTCATTCTTTTTCTGCTGCAAACTTGGAAAAAGTCATTTCTCCAAGAAGCCCAGTCCCTGTAGTGGAGAATGGAGTTTTAGAAACAAGCTTGGGGAGCTAGAGCTGGGCTTAGGGGCTCTCAATCACACCCACTTGCCACCTAAGACTGTTTTCTGAAGGCTTTTCTAATATAGGATTTTTTTTTTCTCTTTTCTGTCTCATGCAAGATTGTCTTTTGCAAGCTCCCCTTTGATACCACAATGTTCTGGCTTTCAAAACACTGAAACTGCTCACCTGCGCTAGGGGGATTTTACTCAATTAATTTTATACAGATTTAACTTCATGCTCACATGGTCAATGTTCTCTCGGTTTAATGTTCTAGATAAATGGATGGCAGATGGCAAGTGGGCAGTGATATGGTTTTGTAATTAGACTACGAAAGATGACACATAAGAAAACAACTAGGGCGAAAATATTTACCAAAGGTTAATTACCATTTTTCCTGGTGCATTTAAATTGTGATGAGATGAAAAAGTACTTTAAAACAAGTAGAGAACTGTGCCTTTTCCTTTTTAATCTTGAATTTGAAAATGTTTTTCCTAAAGTTCCTGTTTTAGTTTAGACTCAGGAACCTAACAGGCATTTATGGCAACCAGTGAAACCCAGGCCCATGTCACGACCACCTCATGTTTGTGTAGTGCTTTGGTGACACAGGACACTTTCCCAGAGTCACTGCACCCTCACCACACACCTGCGGGGGTGGGGGGCTGAGACGGCTCCATCACTATACAGCTGCCATGCCTGAGTATCAAAGGGGCCGAAGAGCACAGGAGCCCAAGGCTCTCTGCTTTTTGGAGAGGCCAGGAACAACGCCATCTGCTCCAAGAGTCAACTGCAGGGGTTTTGGGGTGGTGGTGATGGTGGTATTTTATGGCCCTTTCCACTCCTGACCCAAGTTCATCGCATGGACAAAGTGTCCAGCATTCTACTGGATGGATAACTCTGTGATCTCACAGGCACACAGGTGGTTGAGACAGAATAGATGCAACTGGGATACAGCCTGGGCTTCTCACACAGGAGGGAGGGAACTGCATTCTCACATGCAAGCAGTCATTGCCTGTGCCATCCCTCCAGCCTCTTTCAGAAACTGTGGCCGGAGTCCACCAGCCTCCTCCAACCCTAAGTTCTGATCTCAGTGGAATCCTCTTCGGCTGAAATTTTCATGCTGTCTTCAATTTATGGCAGAATTTATAACCCGTGTTTCACAATGGCTTTTAACTGAGGGTACCATAGCAACTTCCTGATGTGCCGGAACAGAATCCCTGAGACCCCAGTCTATGACCTGGGTTTTCGGGTCAAGCCAACTGGAAAATGGCTTCTCCGGTGTTTCTCGAGCTCATTTTCCAAGCCAAGCCCTGGGTGTGGTTCCGTGCCTGTGATTTCTGGTCTCCCTGGGAGACTCCCGGGCTGGGAGGGGGGAAGATCACTCAGGCCTTCGCTAAGAAAGCAGCAGGACAGCCGGAACCATGGGCTGTTAGGAAGAACCTGTGCACCACTTATCTTCCCTTTTCTTCCTGTTTGCTCGCGGCCTCTGCCTATGCACGCTTCACCCCAACGCTCTTGTGTCCCACAGCCCGAGTCGGTGGCTTCCTCGCCACAGTTCAGCGACCCTCACCTCTACGTGTGGAACGCCACTGGCAACCGAATGCTTCACCGGGTGGAAGGGGTGAGGCTGAAAACACGGCCCGCTCAGTGCACAGATTTCATCACCATCAAGAAACAACTCGAGATGTTGGCAAGAATGAAAGTCACCCACTTCCGGTTTGCTCTGGACTGGGCCTCGGTCCTTCCCACGGGCAACCTGTCCGAGGTGAACCGACAAGCCCTGAGGTACTACAGGTGTGTGGTCACCGAGGGGCTGAAGCTCAACATCTCGCCCATGGTCACCTTGTACTACCCGACCCATGCCCACCTGGGCCTGCCCGCGCCGCTGCTGCACAGCGGGGGGTGGCTGGACCCATCCACGGCCAAGGCCTTCCGCGACTACGCAGGGCTGTGCTTCCGGGAGCTGGGGGACCTGGTGAAGCTCTGGATCACCATCAACGAGCCCAACCGGCTGAGCGACGTCTACAACCGCACCAGCAACGACACCTACCAGGCCGCCCACAACCTGCTGATCGCGCACGCGATCGTGTGGCACCTGTACGACCGCCAGTACCGGCCGTCGCAGCGCGGGGCGCTGTCGCTGTCCCTGCACTCGGACTGGGCCGAGCCCGCCAACCCCTACGTGGCCTCGCACTGGCAGGCGGCCGAGCGCTTCCTGCAGTTCGAGATCGCGTGGTTCGCCGAGCCCCTGTTCAAGACCGGGGACTACCCGGTGGCCATGAGGGAGTACATCGCCTCCAAGACCCGGCGCGGGCTCTCCAGCTCCGTGCTGCCCCGCTTCAGCGACGCCGAGCGGCGGCTGGTCAAGGGCGCCGCCGACTTCTACGCCCTCAACCACTTCACCACCAGGTTCGTGATGCACGAGCAGCAGAACGGCAGCCGCTACGACTCGGACAGGGACGTGCAGTTCCTGCAGGACATCACCCGCCTGGCCTCGCCCAGCCGCCTGGCCGTGATGCCCTGGGGCGAGGGCAAGCTGCTGCGGTGGATGCGGAACAACTACGGAGACCTGGACGTCTACATCACGGCCAATGGCATCGACGACCAGGCCCTGCAGAACGACCAGCTTCGCCAGTACTACCTAGAGAAGTACGTCCAGGAGGCTCTGAAAGGTGAGCTCGGGGCTCAGCGCTCAGACGCTTCTGTAAACTGATCCGATCGAGGAGCCAAGCAGGTTCTTTTTTTTATTTTATTTTTTTAATTTTTGACAGGCAGAGTGGACAGTGAGAGAGAGAGACAGAGAGAGAAAGGTCTTCCTTTGCCGTTGGTTCACCCTCCAATGGCCGCCGCTGCAGCCGGCGCACCGCGCTGATCCGTTGGCAGGAGCCAGGATCCAGGTGCTTTTCCTGGTCTCCCATGGGGTGCAGGGCCCAAGCACCTGGGCCATCCTCCACTGCACTCCCTGGCCACAGCAGAGAGCTGGCCTGGAAGAGGGGCAACCGGGACAGAATCCGGCGCCCCGACCGGGACTAGAACCTCGTGTGCCGCTCCGCAAGGTGGAGGATTAGCCTATTGAGCCACGGCGCCGGCCCCCAAGCAGGTTCTTTAGCCACGGGCTCAGCCTGGTGGCACGAAGTCCTGTCAACGGGACTTTGTCCTAAAAACTGGACTTCTGGAAACAACTTTTCATTTTTTATTTTTTTTAAACTTATTTGACAGGTAGAGTTATAGACAGTGAGAGAGAGAGAGAGAGAGACAGAAAGGTCTTCCTTCCGTTGGTTCACTCCCCAAATGGCCACAACAGGAACTGTGCCGATCTGAAGCCAGGAGCCAGGTGCTTCCTCCTGGTCTCCCATGCAGGTGCAGGGCCCAAGCACTTGGGCCATCTTCCACTGCCTTCCTGGGCCACAGCAGAGAGCTGGACTGGAAGAAGAGCAACTGGGACTAAAACCCTACGCCCATATGGGATGCCTGCGCCACAGGCGGAAGATTAACCAAGTGAGCCAGGCACTGGTGGAAACAACTTTTAATTATAAAAGTAATATTAGCTCATTATGGAAAATGTAGATGTATTTAAAATCACCTGAAGACAAGCACTGTCAGTATTTTTGGATGAATTCCTTCCGGTGTGCTTGCTACCCATCTTCAATACAATTGAGCTCACGGTATTAGTCTTTTTCCTTTAAAAAAAAAAAAAAAGAGCAGAGAGTGAGCTCCTAACCTGCTGGCTCATTCTCCAGATGACCATCACGGCTGGCTCCCAGGTGCCTGTCAGGAGTGGAGCCAGCGGTGGAGCCAGGAGCTAGAGCTGGGTACTCCAATGTAGGGCACAGGTGCCTTTCCCACTGTGCCTTTGTGGATAGCCTTGTTGCTACTAAGAAGCACCTTTGTATAGAAATCGTTCATTTCTGATTCCTTCAGGATGAACTGCCAATATGGAATTAGTAGGTCCAATGTTGTAAGCTGCAGCGTATCAGTCCTTATCTCAGCATCCTTCCTCGTATTATTATTTTTCTAAAGCTTATTTTTAAATGTTCATGATTCATTCAAACAGTAAAGTGACCAATACTTGTTGAGCACTTAATATGGACAAAAACTGTTCTAGTCACAGGACTACCTCTGGACAAAATAAAGATCGCTGTCCTCACAGGGCTTCTATTTCCATAAAGATCAACAAGAAAGACATAACATATTAGAGGTAAAAAGTTTTATGAAAATGGGGCCGGCGCTGTGGCGTAGTCAGTACAGCTGCCGCCTGCAGTGCTGCCATCTGACATGGGTGCCGGTTCGACTCCCAGCTGCTTCTTTGCTCTTTGCTATTGCCTGGAAAGGCAGTAGAAAATGGACCAAGTGCTTGGGCCCCAGTGGGAGACCAGGAAGAAACTTCTGGCTCCTGGCTTCACATCGGCCCAACTCCGGCCATTTGGGGAGTGAATCAGTGTATGGAAGACTCTCTCTGCCCCTATGTAATTCTGCTAAAAAAATGTAAGTTCTATGAAGAAAAACAAATCAAAGAGGGTGCTGGGGTGGGGTATGACACAGGGGTTACAACTCTAAATAGGGTAGACAAGGAGGTGCTCAAAGATCTGGAGAGGCCAGAGGATCCAGAGAGAGCAAATGCAAAACCCTACCGTCAGGGCTGACCTGGTCTGTGTGAGGAGCAGGAATGGGGTCCAAATAGCTGGAGGATAGGAAATGGGGTGACAAAAGATGAGGTAATGAGATAAGAGGCAGACTGTGCAGGGCTCAGAAGGCCAGTCTAAGAATTATGGCTCTTACAGAGACAGGAAGGTACAAAAGGTAAATCTTCTTAAGATTTATTTGATAGGCAGAACGGGAGAGAAGGGAAGAAGAGAGGGAGATCAATCTTTCCATCCATGGAGTCCCTCCCCAAACAGCCGCAACAGCCAGGCTGAAGCTGAGAGCTTGAATCGCCATCTGGGTTCCACAGGTGGACGGCAGAGGCCTGAGTACTCAAGTCCTCCTCTACTGCTTTCCCAGGCACATTAGTGGGGAGCTGGACTGGAAGCAGAGCAGCCAGAACTGGAACTGGCGCTCCTAACTGATGCTGGCGTCACAAGCTGCAGCTTAACCTGCTGTGCCACACCACCTTGGACTGCAAGGTTTCCAATGCAAAGGTGACATGACCGAAATCAGGGCTGGGCCACCTAAAGCCTGCAGAATCACCTGGTCTGGCAATGCCAAAGCAACCACAGGTCTAATTCAAAATTCAGTCCATCTATACCAGGCTAATTTATCTTTTATTTTTTTTTTATTTTTATTTTTTTACAGGCAGAGTGGACAGTGAGAGAGAGACAGAGAGAAAGGTCTTCCTTTGCCATTGGTTCACCCTCCAATGGCCGCCACGGCCGGTGCACCGCACTGATCCGATGGCAGGAGCCAGGTACTTACCCTGGTCTCCCATGGGTGCAGGGCCCAAGCACTTGGGTCATCCTCCACTGCACTCTCTGGCCACAGCAGGGAGCTGGCCTGGAAGAGGGGCAACCGGGACAGAATCCTGCACCCCAACCGGGACTAGAACCCGGTGTGCTGGCGCCGCAAGGCGGAGAATTAGCCTAGTGAGCCGCGGCGCCGGCCTAATTTATCTTTTAAAGATTCATTTATTTGAAAGGCAGAGTTAGAGATCTTCCATCTGCTGGTTCACTCCCCAAGTGGCCACAATGCCAGCTCTGAGACCCAGATGGAATTCCAGCATCTGGCTCCTGCCTTGACCAGCCCTAGCTGTTGTGGCGATTTGGAGAGTGAACGAACAGAAGATTCTCTATGACTGTCTTTCAAATAAATAAGGCTGGATGAAATCACTCAGAGACCACGCACAGAGAAGTAAGCCTGGAGTAATTCAATATTCAGAAGCAATAATGGTTAAGACACCTGTATCCCAGCACCACGGTTCAATGCTTGCCTTTGGCTAACGACGCCAGCTTCCTGCTAACACACAGACCCTGGGAGGCAGCAGTAATGGCTTAGCTGGGTCCCTGCCACTCACTTGGTAGATCTACAACGAGTTTCAGGCTCCCAACTTCAGCCTTAGCATTTGGGGAATGAGCCAGTGGATCGGAGCTCTTTCTGTCTCTCAAATTAAAAATAATTAAACAGAGACCAGAGAGATGAGAAGTCAGTAAAAAACTGAAAAGTTCCAGTGCTGTAACACAGCCAGAGACATGCAATCAAGGGTTTTTTGTTTTTATTAAGATAGCAGATCTTGGTACTGTTGCCTGTGGCATCAGCATCCCATATGGGTGCCAGGTGGAGTCCCAGCTGCTTCACTTTCCATCCAGCTCCCTGCTAATGCACCTGAGAAAGCAGCTGAGATGGCACAAGCACTTGGGCAACTGCATCCGTATGGGAAACCAGGGAGAAGCTCCTGGCTTCTGATCGGCCTAGCTCTGGTTGGTGGGGCCATTTGAGGAAAGACCAGCAGATGGAAGCGCTCTCTCTGCTTCTATTTCTTGCCTTTCAAAACAAACAAACAAAAACAAAAAAACAGATCTTTATATCCAAATGCCTCAGTAGTCAGGAAAAGTTACTGCATGAGGGATGAGGGGAAAATAGGTGAGAGTGATGTCCTTGAGGTAACACAAGAAAATGCCAGGTGGGGAGAAGTGACTGTGGGAGATGGAAGGTGTCCTAGGGCCAACTCAACTTTTCAGTGAAGGAAGCAATGTCATCATCTCAAAGCAAGGATGACAGACTTAAGTCTAAGGAGAGAAGAAAGGGGTGAAAATGGTCCCCTAAGAGTAAGAGGAACCAAGTGTGGTTACCAGGGCACGCAAACAATCTGAGACCCGGAATCGGCCCTCCCTGTGACCCTTTGAACAAGTGCCAGCACTTTTACCTTCATGGCTCTGCTTCTTAAATTTTGCCATTTTGAACTACAGATCCTAGTTTTACTTCAAATATATTTACAAACCTAATTTCTTTACATAGCTCTTGAATCACTACCTTTTTTATGGCATGGCATGAATCTAGCTTGTTTCAAAGAAAACTAAATTCTTTCTCAAGGACTGTCTACAGTTCATCTGTGACTAACAATTTCATTTCTGGTATTTTTCAGCATATCTGATAGATAAAATAAAAATCAAAGGCTATTATGCATTCAAACTGACTGAAGAAAAATCTAAACCCAGGTTTGGATTCTTCACCTCTGATTTCAAAGCCAAGTCTTCAATACAGTTTTACAACAAACTAATTACCAGCAACGGCTTCCCGTCTGAGAACGGCGGTCCTAGATGCAATCAGACTCAAGGAAATCCCGAGTGCACCGTCTGCTTACTCCTCCTGCAGAAGAAGCCGCTGATATTCTTTAGCTGCTGCTTCTTCTGCACCCTGGTTCTACTCTCATCAATTACCATCTTTCACAGACGGAAGAGAAGAAAGTTTTGGAAAGCAAAGGACTTACAACACATACCATTAAAGAAAGGCCACAAGAGAGTCCTTAGCTAAAGTGAACTTATTTCTCTCTGAAGAGTTTAGAAATTCACTCCAGTTCCATATGCTGGTAACACAAAAGACATACCCGTATTGTACAAAGAGTATTTGAGATACTGTGCTAACCAAGGCGACGACAATCAAAACCTCTGCCATGTGGTTGAATGCATTTTCCCTTAAGTGGTGACAATCAGCGAACTCAGTTCTTGGTCCTAAAGGAGGCTTCGCACTGCCACTAGGCTATGAGTATTACCTGACGCATTGCTTTGTCAAGTTTGATGAGCTGTTTCGCATCATTCTCTAGCTTTCTTTAGATACCAATAGCTACTATGGTAAAAGTTGTTTTTAAAAGTCAAACTCTGTAAGGCTTCACAGCAGATTTAAAACTATTCTTTACACTGGATCTGTGATTTTGTCACTCGTAGCAAGGTGCTTTCCCCTTTTGGTCCTAGTGGCTCTCAAATAGAAAGCAAACACATCTTAGGGTAATCTACTTATCTATAGCCAATCACAGCACTGACCCACAACTACACAAATCCTTTAGCTCTTCTCCATAAAACACCTAATTTTGTGATCTTTTAAGTAATCTGAAATGTAAAAGTATGACTTCCGTAACCCATCTCATGGAAAGATCACTAATCTCACCGTACTGCAACCTCCTCCTTTAGAGCAGGCATTCCTTACCATTTTTGCAAGATGACATGATTTAGCATCTAGAACCCCTATATTACTCACTTGATAGTCACCATGGTTATCCAGCTGTTATTACTTGCTTGTACCCAGGTAACCCTTTTTTATTTTAATAGAGCTCCAAAGTATAAGACTAGTGATGAAAAGGAGGCAAGTCATCAAATATGGAAGGACAGATTAACTCTGGCACTAAGTGGGAATGCTGCAGGGTATACAGGAAAATAAAATTCAGAAGTCAGTGGTTTCAAGCATCCTCTGAGGTACCTGGGGCACAATCTCCACAGATAAGGGGAAAGAGCACTGACAAAGACTAAACATCCTAAAAAGATGCAATGTTCTACTTACTGGCCATCAGAATAATGGCCAAAGGACCCTATACTTGCTTGCTCTCTTGCCAAGTTTCGCTGCACATAGGTGTGGAATGCAGCGACTGACCCTGGATGCGATTCAGAATGCTGATGATCTGAGTGAACTAGTTTTTTATACAGCACTTTTTAAAGCCTAGAATTCCTACATCTGAACTTGGGAGTTTTGACTTTTTTGAAATTAATTGTGCTTAAGATTTATTCAGTGATTCTAAACACTGGAGGTAGAAAACTGTATACCCATTATGGCTATTAATTTTTCTTGGTTAGCCAACATTTAAATAACCACAAAGTGGCCAGTCATTGTCTTTCCCTTTCAGGAATTTAAGTCAAAGGATGCTGCTGCCTGCGATGCTGGCACCTCATAGGGGTGACAGTTTGTGTCCCTGCGGTTCCACTTCCTATCCAGCTCCCTGCTAATGGCTTGGGAGAGCCCTGCACCCTCATGGGAGACCCAAAAGCAGATCCTGCTGCTTTCAGCCTGCTGCGGCCACTTGCAGTATGAACCAGTGGATGGAAGATCAATGTCTCTCCCAACAATTCTTTGAATAAATTTCTTCAAAAGTCAAAATAAAATTATCCAGCTCAAAAAGCTTTAGTAGAAAACGATCCTACATTAAGGCGGTCGTGACTGTATCCCAAGTGCATCTACGTTACAAACCAAATTGAGTATGCAATTCAGGATGCTACTAGACTATAAGGAGAAAACAGCCAATTCAAACAAAATACAAAAGTGATGTGCAGTTAATTTGCTTTCTGGTTGGCCAAATGTTTTTTTTCTCTTCTTGCCACCACTGTTTTACATGTACTTTAGAAGAAATTTTGACTTTTTGCTTCCTTTGAGAAATCACTATTATCAAAGGCAATTCATAATTACAAGTGGTCCATTGGCTTAAGAGCTCAAGATTATAGCCCTTCTTCAAACTTGCCAAACTCCTCAAATAGTGAAGCTCCTAACGAAGGGTTTACAACATCCTGTTCATTAGGGGTTATATTTTTAAGTGACTGTAATTTACCTAACAAATTTAATCTGGCTATCTATTGGTAATACATGTAATATTCAGGTTTATCATAAACCCACTTAAAAACTAAAGGTTAAGTGGAAGTTGCTGCTTTTCAAAGTAACAGGCTTCTCAGGGGAAAATATCACCTTAGCGTCCACCTTGTACTACATCTCGTGTATTCACTGTAACCCATCTTTCCGAACATGTCTGATATATATGGAAACAGCACTAGTGCTTAGCCTCTGGAAATGAGGCCAGGATTTTGTGATTAAATGTCTAATTTATTCCAAATAAACTGATTTACGCCAATAATGTGTTCCTGCTGTATTTTCTTAGCATATCATAGTTTATGCCTAAGTTATTTACTTTATAAGTGGCTGGAAAAGATAATCAGCTACAGAAGTCTCAAATCAATAATCTTTTATTGCATTATTAAAATACCACAAGACACAATCTGGGTTCTTGTTTCTGCAGCCGGATAACTGTAAAAAGAAATGAAAACATCTGTAAATCTCTTGACCAGATAAATATTATGCTAAATAAATCTAAGCCATATTAAGATTATGACCATGATTCATAGTTAGATGTAAGCCCAGTAAAAAGCATGTTCATTCAATCTCTTATTCTGCCACATTTACTGTGTCCCAGTAATTATATTTAGTAAATCAGGATCCCCAAACACAATAACCTACCTTTTAGGTCTTATTCATCAGCCTGTTGAACTGTTCCTTTTTCAGAGACATAGATACCATCCAAAAATTTTCTGATATCTTTATTTTTAACTGTTGTTGCCTGCTGAATCAAAGCAGCTAAAGGGGTAAAAAAAAAAAAAAAAAAAAGGCAATTCCAAATGAAACAAAATACCACAGATCCAATTCAGACAAAAACTTTATAGGCATAATTAGAGAAAATATACAAACCTGAATTTGAAACAAGTTCAATGTCATTTCCTTCAAGCACTAATTCATCTTTCTGGGCTTGAGACACTGAACAGGCAACACCTAAAAGGCAAGGGGGCATTTGCTTGGTATCAACATAAAATCAAATCTGTTATTATTTCTTCCCCTTAAAATTTCATTCAGCAAATGAACCTTGAGATTTTGGTTTATAGACTAACTTTTATGGGTCCCAATCTAATTTTGTGTTTCTGCTTGAATCAGTCCGTTCTTTTAGTAATTCAATACAGTCAAATACAGCAATTTAGTTATACAAAGGTTTGTACCAAGTCTTATTTCTGCTAAATGTATTTTTAATCCTTTATAAAGTTGTTGCTTTTTAACAAAAGGGATCTCATTTAATGATGCTGACCACAGAGTATTTTTGCAAAGTTGGTACTTAGAATATTTCTTCTTCCCATCCCAACAGATTTAAAAAAGCACTCAGCACTAAGCTTCCAAGACACAGAGGCCTTCTATCCGCTGGTTCACTCCCCAGTGCCAACAACCCTGGCCGGGTCAAGTCAAAGCCAGGAGCTGAGGGCCACCATCTACAATGCTGGCATCCTGCAGGTTCATGTTCTACCTGCTCCACTTCCAATCCAGCTTCCTGCTAATGGCCTGGGAAAGCAGCAGACAGCCCAAGTGCTTATTCACTTGGGAGACCCAGTTAAAGTCCTTGTTTTCTGGCTCAGCTTTGGCTGTTGCAGCCACTTGGGGAGGGAATCAGAGGATGGAAGATCAGTAAAAGTCTGGTAACTCTTTCAAAAAAAACAAAAAAAAAACCACAAACCAAACCAAACCACCAGAGTCAAAGCATCCACGTTTCCCACATGAGTGGTAGGGATTGCTGCCTTCCAGAATTTTATTAGCAGGAAGCTGGATCAGAAGCTGAAAGTGGAGGCAGACTCAATTCCAGGCCCTCCAATATGCGTTGTGCGCATCCCAATCCACCTCAAGCTTTAAAATGTTCAATAACTCCAGTGTTTACTGTGTATTAGGCAAGCACTAATGAAAGCACCTGTTAATGTGCACCTGCAGCAGATGGTGGCGAGTACTGGGATCCTTGTAAGCCATGGGAGACCCAAGTTGAGTTCCAGGTTCCCGGCACTGGCCTGGCCCAGCATCAGCTATTGTGGGCACCTGGGAAGCCAGTGGATGGAAGATCTGCCTCTCCAACTTTCAAGTAAGCTTTTTTTGGGGGGCCATTGCTGACAGGTTAAACCTCTGCTGGCACTGCCAGCATTCCATATGGGTGCCAGTTCAAGTCCCAGCTGCTCCACTTCCAATCCAGCTCCCTGCTCATGGCCTGGACAAGCAGCGGAAGATGGCCCAAGTGTTTGGGCCCCTGAACCCACAAAGAAGACCCAGGAGCTCCTGGCTCCAGCCTGACCCAGCCCTATCCGATGCAGCCAAGCAGATGGAAGATCTCTCTTTCAAATAAATAAACCTTTTCCATTTTGCAGCTACCATGCACTGCTAACTACTCTCAAGTATACCCGTTCAGGAACTACAACTGGTACAAGGAAGACAGAATCACTGAACACCAGCAACTATTTTTAAGTATACTCAAAACACAATTCTGAAATAAATCTGACTTTAGTCATGGCCACCCCAAAACACTAGCCTTCAAAAGTCTAAAGAAAATATTTCTGAATCATATCTCAAGATATGCACATACCTGGCCTCATCCGAACCCTTCGGATGTACTTTTCACCCAAGAAATTTCTAATTTCAACAAGAGACCCATTCTCTTGAATAACCACGTTGATGGGGAAGTGAGCATACACTGACCTCATCTTGTATCGGAAGCCCTAAGAAACAAACAAGCCGTTAACATCAAGGAAAGTTAACTTTTAAATTCTTAAAAAATGCTTAGGTTATAATTTAACTTAAAAAACCCAACACAGCTCTCGTTGTCCAAGTATTCTAATGACTGTCACTTGTACCAATCCTTTTCAGTCAACATCCCTAGAACTTGCATCCACAGACCTAAGATGTAACAACACAACCTCATCAGAAGTCCCAAACCCCACTCTTCGGCATGCTGCTGACATCTGCTGAGTTACTACTGTATGCCTGAAGGCAAGAATTGAGGCTACTAAGGAACTCAGTCTGGGCGCAAGGATAAACAAGTGAAAAGTGATTCAACAGGAGTTCAGGGTGCCACTATCAGGTATATACTAGACGGGTTGAGTTTTCTAGCAAACCAAGCTAACTGGCATGAACTTTTATCTGGGGAGACTTAATGGGAATAAGAGTGATGTGTGACATGCATTTAGGGAAATATGGAGTCCAAGAATTTTACCTTTCCATCTTTTTAAAGACTGCATCCATCTGATTTTTTATTTAATCTTCTAAAACCCAGAGATGCCTATTTGCCACATTCATGTATAACCCATTCTCTGCAGTAGATATTTAGTTGTGTATACAAACTACAGCTGAAAACCCTCCCCTACCAAAAACAAGTTTGGTCACGTTGCTTACCAGTGTAACCCCCTTGATCATATTCTGTACGTGACTACAGATCGTGCGAACAGTTGCCAGTTCCTTTCTATTTCCCCACCATTTGTCAACCCGGAGCTGTTAACAGATAAAAGCATTTTAGCGGTCTTTTCAGAAACAAGTAGGACCAAAATGGCAGTCCATTTATTCACCGAATTACCCTAGCTTCTGGAATGGAAAACCCAATCACACACACACCTCCGGCAGTGAAGCGTTTTCATTACTATACAACACAGGTACACAATTTCACAAAGGAATGACAGCCCAAGTGACAACACAATTTCACAAAGGAATGACAGCCCCAAGTGACCACAAACTTCACTTTCGGAAAGCGAATCCCAGATTCTTACAAAGCCATCATAAAACTAGGCTTAATTTCTAAGCACTAACACCACTGAGCTTTAAAAATCCGCTGTCTTCACAACCTGGTTTTCCAATTTCACTAAAGCAATTCTAAGCTATGTTTCTAGATGTCACATTCTAAAGCTAACACACTGAACCTCCAAACCTGGTGCCTTTGGAAGCCACTACCTTCCAAACAAGCGACCCAAGCGTCCCCCGGCCACCCGCGGCCCCAGGACTCACCCTCTTCTTTTTCTTTCCCAGGAGACTGAGTTCCACATTGATGTGGTTGAAGTCCCTCCGCAGGGTTCCTCTGGGCCCCTTCACAATGACTGTGCGCCCCTTCAGACTGATGTCGACTACACGGAGAACGTATTGATTCGTTAAGGCCACGGAATTAAAGGCTTGGGACACATACAGCAAATAATGCAGGAGGAAAATACACACACTCAAATCTCATACCATTTTCTGGGATGTCGACCGTCTGATTGCTGAGAATGGTCTTCATTCTGAAACATAAACACGGGCGGTAAGAAGGCAAGCGCAGGGCCCGAGTGCCACCGAACCACAACGCACGACAGCTCCACGTCCACCGGAACTGCCCGGCAGAAATCCCCAGAACATAAGAAAACGCAGCCTGACAGCGGGCCCCAAAACGTCCAGGCCCGAAAAGAACGGTCACAAAGTGCGTGTTGTGAGGCCCAGCGGGCGAACTCCCCGCTCACACCAGTCCTGGAAGTTCCGTCCGGGCGGCGCCATGCCAGTAAGGGTGAGGAACGGGTAGGGGGGGGAGGCCTAAAAGCCTACAATATGACTGGTATCCTGGCGCCTCCAGGTCCATATTGCGCTCGTCGCGCTGAGGGACAAACAGCATACGAGTTCCGAGGTTCGGACCCGCGCCGCTGGCTTTCCTAGAGGCGATGGTTTCAGATTCCCAGGGCCCATCGGATACAGAAACATCCTCACCTCGCAGTAGATGCGGCAAAGAGAGAGCGTCTTTCGTCATCACGTACTTGTAGTGCGTAAGGGCCCTGCGTATTGCGTCATGAATGTGCGACGCCACCGAAAACTAAAGCAGCCAATCGCGGAGCAGCTCATGTTGCTCTGGCTCAAGTGCTTCGTCATAAGCCGAGCGACGGAGTGTCGACCTGTCCTTTCTGTGTTTTTTGTGATCCTCCCATCCTGTTAAGGCTAAAAAGGGGATGTCTCTACGCTGCGGGGACGCCGCCCGCACCCTGGGGCCCCGGGTGAGCGGTGGGGCGAATAGGGTGCGGGTGCGGGGTGTGGGGCTCCCATCCCTTCAGCTCGCAATGATAAAGGCCAATGCTTGTTGATCGATCACTTTTTTTTTTTAAACATTCATTTTATTTATTTGAAAGGCAGAGTTACAGAGAGACAGAGGGAGACAGAGAGACACAGAGAGAGGTCTTCCATATGCTGGTTCACTCCCTAATTTGCCGCAATAGCGGCTGCGCCTGTCGGAAGCCAGGAGCCAGGAGCTTCTTCCGGGTCTCCCACGTGGGTGCAGGGGCCGGAGAAGTTGGATCATCCTCTTCTGGTTTCCCAGGCCAAGGCCGAGAGCTGGAGCGGAAGTAGTGTAGTGGGGACTCCAAGGAGCGCACCATTGGGATGCCAACGTAGCAGGCGGCGACTTTACTCGCTATGCCACGATGCCGGCCCCCACCCGTGACTACTGGAAACATTTTTCATGTCTTAACTTTTTTAATGCCCCCTACTGGATAGTAGGTAGATTCTCTGGTATTGGTTGGTTTGAGGGTCTCTCTGGGCTGGCACCTAGAGCTTCTTTCTGCTTAGAGTGGTTTGCACCCTCTATTGGAGCATTGCAAAGGAACATCCCAAGTAGCTGCTGATATTGGGATCATCCCGTGTGTTACACACCACTCCAGCTGCTAGGAACCCAGAGGAAACTACCCTCCAAAACTGCAGGCACGGACTAGTGCAGTACCACGGGCGCTATCTGTGGAATTCACTGTGCTTTGTAGGGTGTTAGGTATCCTGTGCAAAAATGGGTCAGATCTGGAAGCCAATTACCATGGTTTCCGATACTCAACAAATGCCCCCGGCTGCTGCTTTTCCGATTCAGCTCTCTGCTGTGGCATGGGAAAGCAGTGGAGGATGGCCCAAGTCCTTGGGCCCCTGCGCCCGCGTGGGAGACCTGGAAGAAGCTCCTGGCTCCTGGTTTTGGATCAGGCACAGCTCTGGCCATTGAGGCCATCTGGGGAGTGAACCAGCGGATGGAAGTCCTTTCTCTCTGTCTCTCCCTCTCACTGTCTATAACTCTACCTCTCAAATAAATAGATAAAAAATCTTAAAAAAAAGACACACCTGTAGTACCTGTTAAGTACATAAAAATGTGACGTATTAGGCACAGGTTTCTTAAGTTATTCCAAAAGAAAGTTAATTTCTGTTTCCTTTAGGTTTGGTTCCCTGTAGACTCATCTTGAATCTTGGATTCTGATCTCCTGGGCAGTTGGAGCCCCTAAATAATTTGACACAATCCCCAATCAGTTCTTTAACTTTCCCTTTCAGGTTAAAACAAAGTATTCCAGAACCCAGTGAATGAGTGTCATTAATGACTTTTTCTTTAGGTTTTTGGAAGATATTTATGCAGCCCAGTCAGAACATTAAGTTCTTTGCCAGATAAAAAGAAAGAATTTCTACAGAATGGACCAGACCTTCAAGATTTTCTCTCTGGGGATCTTGCAGATAAGAGCACCTGGGATGAATACAAAGGAAACTTAAAACGCCAGAAAGGAGAACGGTAACTGAAATGATTTTACTGTCCCATTCCTTCTTTGTGCATTATTTGTAGCTATATTTAAGTAAAAATCTTTAGAAAGAAGTGATGTGTGAGTTTAGTGACTGGAATCTTTTTTCTTTTCTCGGTGGCCTGTAACATTTTTCCTTCAACTTTTCTAGGCTCTACCCATCTTGCACTCCCACCTCACTGTTTTCTTCCCAGCATTGGCTTTCTTTAGAAAGTGAAGGTTATCACCTTGCTACTAATTTATTAGACCTTGATCAACTTTAAATTGTTATTGGATATTGATTTAACATGTTGCTTCTCCCAATTTACACGGGACCTGTGAATTTCTAATTTAAAAGGATGGTGAGGGAATTCCGTGTAGAGGGCAAACTGTTGTGGCAAACACTTCCACTGGTAGTCCAGGGCAAGCTACAGATACACAGCCCCACTCCAAATTTTAGATTTTTTTAAAAATAAATACCATAAAATCTAGAATGTGGCAAATAAGGCACAGTTGGCATCCCTTCTCACTCTGAATATGTGTAGTACTTTTGGGGGGTAATATTCGTCGGGAATGAGATATTCAAAATCTTTCCCATTCTTTGTGCCTTTGTAAAAGAGACATAAACCTGTTATGGGTATTTTCTAGAATGGTTTGAGGAAGCCTAAATTTGATTCTTTGTTCTTGTTGCTATGAGAGAAATTAGAACGTTACTCCAGGATTATGGAAAGCAGTTTTAACTAGGAATTCTAATAGAGCAAAGTAACCTCAGTGATGAGTAAGTGGCAGCATATTTATTAATAGAATGATGTTTGGCTTCCCTTAGGTTAAGACTGCCTCCCTGGCTAAAGACAGAGATTCCCATAGGGAAAAATTACAATAAACTGAAAAATACACTGCGGAATTTAAATCTCCATACAGTAAGTTGCCAAAGCTTTAACTTCCTCTACTAAAGCCATATCATTCATTCTTATTTGTATCTTAAAAATAAGTATATAAATTACAGCAAGGAAAGTGAGTAAAAGGTGTTAAGTGAACATTACCACCAGTAGTGGAAATTCATTTAAAATAATTTTTTCCTGCAAGAGAGATGAAAGGTAGTTGTATTTTTTGTTATATTTAATAGTACAAAAAAACCAAAGACTTCCTTGAAACTTGGGGACCAAGAATTTTTTGTTTGTTTTATGTTACAAATTAAGTATGTGTTGGGAAAAGTATAAAATTAAAGTGAAAATGTATCATAAACACAATCCAAATATTAACCTCCCCACTTTAACTGTTCAATACATATCTTTTTTTTATTTAAAGATTTATTTATTTATTTGAAAGTCAGAGTTACACACAGAGAGGAGAGGCAGAGAGATGTCTTCCATCTGCTGGTTCACTCCCCAACTGGCTACAACAGCTGGAGCTGTGCCAATCCGAAGCCAGAGCCAGGAGCTTCTTCTGGGTCTCCCACATAGGTGCAGGGCCCAAGGACTTGGGCCATCTTCTACTGCTTTCCCATGCCATAGCAGAGAGCTGTATCGGAAGTGGAGCAGCCAGGACTTGAACCAGTGTCAATATGGGATGTGAGCTGAATTGGAAATGGAGCAGCCAGGACTTGAACCAGTGCCAATATGGAATGCCAGGACTTTGGGCAGCGGCTTTACCTGCTACGCCACAGCACCGGCCCCTCAATACATATCTTTTCATATTTTTCATTACGGTTTTCAATTTTGAGATGGGATCCTAATGCAGTTTGGCATTTTAAAATAAGTTGTCAACAACGGGCAGTTGAAACTGTAATCAAGGGGTTGGTGTTGTGGTACAACAGGTTGGGCCTCTGCTTGAGGCACCCACATCCCTCTCATCTCAGAGCGCCTGGTTGGAGCCCCAGCTTCCCAACCAGGTGATGCGGTCCAGAGAGAGCAGATGATGGCTCAAGTATTGGGCTCCTGCCACCCACATGAGAGGCTGGATGGAGCTCCAGGCTCCTGGCTTCAGTCTGGCTCAGCCCTGGCTTTTGCGGGCATTTGGGGAGTGAATCAGTGGATAGAAAATCTCTGGCTCATTCTCTCTATGTTACTCTGCTTTTCAAATAAATAATTTTTTTTTCTAGATGTGTAATCATTAACTGTTCAGTTCAGTTGATGGATATTTCCAACCTGATTGTGTTCTGCTCCCTTTTACCCACAGGTATGTGAGGAAGCCCGCTGTCCCAACATTGGAGAGTGTTGGGGAGGTGGCGAGTATGCCACTGCCACAGCCACAATCATGGTGAGGCCAGCCTCAACTCAAAGCTTTCGTTTGGAAACTGGAAGGGAATATTTTCTATCTTTCTTCTAAAAACGCACATTAGGAATCTCTGGTTGGACATTACATATCACATAAGAGTTTGTTAAAACTGTGAAGAAAAAAGTCTGGCAGAGGGGCCAGTGTTGTGGTACTTTGGGTTAAACCAATGCCTGCAATGCTGGCATCCCATATGAGCACTGGTTCAAGTCCTGGCTGCTCCACTTCTGAACTAGCTATCTACTAATGTGCCTGGGAAAGCAGCAGAAGATGGCCTAAGTCCTTGGGCCCCTGCACCCATGTGGGAGACCAGATGAAGTGCCTCACTCCTGGCTTCCTCCAAGCCCATTCCTAGCCAGTGTGGTCATTTGGGAGTGAACCAGCGGATGGAAGATCTTTGTCTCTTCCTCTGTCTGTAATTTGTTTTTCAAAAAAATTAATTAATTAAAAAAGAAAAATCTGACAGAATAATACCAAATGTTGAGGCCTTAGCCTTCTCTTAATAAATCTAGTATTGATTCTTCGTCTGTCTTATAGTTGATCATGTGCTGCTTTCCGCTCACTCTCCTATTAATTTTGGAAATATTTTTATTGTTTAGTATTTTATGTTTCTGTTCCATCTATTTAATAAGAAAGAACTGTGCCTTCTGCTTAACTCCCAGAGACCTGCACATGGATGGGTTAATTGAGTATTTTATGTCTCTTTAAATCCAATGTATTAAGCAGATGCAAAGGAATCTTTATAACCTATTTTATGTTATAAGCTATGACAATACTCACCTCCAGTTTGAGAATAGAATTTAACAGTACCTTTCAACCTCAGTGTCTACCCACCAAACTGTATTAGAATGTCATTTTTATTACTTTTGATTTTTATTTATTTGAGAGAGATCAGACAGATCTCCCGCCCATTGGGTCACTCCCCAAACACCCGGGGTTCTGGCAGGCTGAAGCTAGGAGCTGAGGACTCAATCCATGTCTCCCACATGGGTATCAGGGAGCTGAGTACTTGAGTCATCACCCACAAGTTCACAGGGTGCACATTAGCAGGAAGCTGGACTTGGAAGTGGAAACAGGACCTGAACCCAGGCACTCTGATAGGCGATGTGGGTGTCCCAAGTGGCATCTTCACCACTGCGCCAAACACCTGCCCCAGGATCCCATTTTTAAACGTAAATTATATCCCTTCTCATCCCCTCCCCTTTCCTCTTCCCTTAATGCTATTCTTAATTCTGAGTTTATTTTTGCCCTTTTTTTCTAGTTTTACACATGTATTTGTATTCAATTGTGTGCATTCTTAGTGATTTGCTTTATTCTGTCAACCCTGTTTTGATGAAGGTGATCTATTTGGCTGTAACATCTCTATTCTAGTTGATGGGTGACACGTGTACCAGAGGTTGCAGATTTTGTTCTGTTAAGACTGCAAGAAACCCCCCTCCACTGGATGCCAATGAGCCCTACAATACTGCAAAGGCCATTGCAGAGTGGGGTCTGGATTATGTTGTCCTGACATCTGTGGATCGCGATGGTTAGTGTGACATCATGCCTCCCCTGGAAACTGGCTTTTACTAAATTGTCAAATATCCTTGAGTGGAAGATTCTTTTCTTTTCCAGATATGCCTGATGGGGGAGCAGAACACATTGCAAAGACTGTATCATACATTAAAGAAAGGTACTTGTTTTTTGCTTTTGTCAATGTAAGCTTAGGACCTTCTTGGACCCATATAAATTCAGTTTGTCTCAAGTTTTACCTTAAAGCAGTGGTTCCTAACCTCCCAGTAATCTCTGCTCCCTTCTCCAGAAAAAGCACGTCTGTGTGCTCAGATGGGCAATTGCAGAAGCTTCTAGCGAATCGGTGGCACAGGCGTAGCTATGCCCAATAGTCCACTGGACCCTACTTCATATTTAAGTAGTAGTTTAAACTTTGAGTGATTTCCTTTAAGAAGTTCAAAACTGTAGACTTCTTAGCATTGATTTTTAAGAACTCTTCATCTGAAAATAGTTAGAATGAGATAAGCTCCAACATTATTCAAATTTAAAAGTTCTGATATAGACTTTATCCTTATTCAAATGCCTTGGGAGTTTTCCCCATAATCCATGTTTGTATTTATATTTGAATCCCATGCTTTTGAAAAAGAGCCATGCTCACTTCCCACAGCTCAGTGCTTGTTGGTAATTCCTAAATACAATTTAATTTCTGGTGTTAATAGGTCATTTAAAAAATTGTTGTAGCCCACTCAGTTTATTTTTATTTATTTATTTGAAAGGCAGAGTTAAAGATAGCGATAGAGCCAGAGAGAGAGAGAGAGAGGTCTTCCATCCACTGGTTCACTCCCCAAATGACTGCAACGACCAGAGCTGAGCTGATCCAAAGCCAGGAGCCAGGAGCTTCTTCTGGGTCTCCCACGTGGGTGCAGGGAAACAAGGACTTGGGCCATCTTCCACTGCTTTCCCAGGCTATAGCAGAAAGCTGTATTGGAAGTGGAATAGCCAGGACTCGAACTGGTGCCCATATGGGATGCCAGCACTACAGGCTGGGGCTTTAACCCTCTGCACAACAGCACCAGCCCCTACTCAGTTTATTTCAAAAGGCACTAAGGAGTCTCAATTTGCAGTTAAAAAACGGAGTCATGTAATGATACGTTCTTTCTCATCTCTTCTGTTGGTGAGAGGCCTACCCGCTCTTTCTATCTGTTCTCTCCCAGCAGCTCCAGACACTTTGCCACTGGGCTTGTGCAAAAATCGCCGGCTGTCCCAATCATTTCTGTTAGCTTCAAAGGGAAGAGCTCTGTGACCTAGTTCACATTATACTGCTTGGATGGAGAGAGAGAGCCACAATATGAATAGAAGATTAATGTTTAGCTTGTGTGTCATTTAAGCAAAGCCCCATGACTCAGCAAGCCTGAAAAATAGTTATAAAACCTACAGCAGTTGTGAAATATTTGCCTTAAAAAGGGAGGAGGGCGCCATTCGATGACTTGTAAAAGAAATTAAAGTTGAAACAAATAATGCTTACATTTACACGTTAAATGTCCCGATTCACTTGAAAATTTGTTTAATGTTTTAATATTTCATCTTAACTTTTTGAAACAAGGTCATTGTTTAAAAGCATACATTAGACTTAGAAGTCTAGATAATCTCCAGTTTTATTCTGATCATTATTTGCATGCAGATGTGTTTTAAACACGACGTTCATATCATTTGATGTTCTGGGGTTTTGGTTTGGTTTTCATATAATGGTTCACACACGAACATTTTTGTGTTTTCTTGGCAAAGTCCCAGTATTACTGTGTTGAAACTGATCCTGGGCCAGCGCCGCGGCTCACTAGGCTAATCCTCTGCCTTGTGGCGCTGGCACACCGGGTTCTAGTCCCGGTCGGGGCGCCGGATTCTGTCCCGGTTGCCCCTCTTCCAGGCCAGCTCTCTGCTGTGGCCCGGGAGTGCAGTGGAGGATGGCCCAAGTGCTTGGGCCCTGCACCCCATGGGAGACCAGGAGAAGTACCTGGCTCCTGCCATCGGATCAGCGCGGTGCGCAGGCCACGGCAGCCATTGGAGGGTGAACCAACGGCAAAGGAAGACCTTTCTCTCTGTCTCTCTCTCACTGTCCACTCGGCCTGTCCAAAAAAAAAAAAAGCTGATCCTGAATGGGTGTTGATAATTTCTGTTTGGAGCAACAGTTCTGTCCATTCTTTCTCTCAGTTTGATACTTATCTTTTTCCCTCCTAGGAATCCAAAAATTCTTGTGGAGTGTCTCACCCCTGATTTCCGAGGAGATCTGAAAGCAATAGAGAAAGTTGCTCTGTCGGGATTAGATGTGTACGCACATAACGTAGAAACAGTTCCAGAATTACAGAGGTGATTATGTGTACAGAGGAATTGGGGAAGTTAAAGAGTCAGGAGAGTCTATTTTTCTCATTCTCATTTTTTTTTTCAGTGGCAAACATTGCATTTGACTTTTACAAAGTGAGCTCTTGTTTTTAAACAAACCCCAATGAATGTCAGAAAAATCAGAAAGTATAGCCAATGAAAAGTGTGAACACCACCCCTGCTTCTACCCAGTAATATCACTTATTCACATCTTAGTGTTTATGTTTCTGGGTATGTGTAAATATATACAATAAGGCATGAGTAACAGATATCATCAGGTTACTATGTGTCTATGTATGGTTTTTTAAAATTTTATTTATTTATTTACATTTTTATTTGAAAGGTAAAGAGACAGAGAAAGACACAGAGAGAGATCTTTCATCTGCTGATCCCTCCCCAAATACGTGCAACAGCTGGGCTGGGTCAGGCCAAAGCCAGGAGCCTAGAACTCAATCTGGGTCTCCTGTGTAGGTAACAGGGACCCAATTACTTGAGCCATTATATGCTGCCTCCTGGGGTGCATGTTAAAGAAAGCTAGAATCAGAAGCAGAACTGGTAGCTGAACCTAGGTACTCTAGTGTGAAATGTAGAAATCTCAAGCTGTGTCTTCCTTTTTTTTTTTTTTTTTTTTTTTAAGATTTATTTATTTATTTGAAAGGCAGAGTTAGAGACAGAAAAGGGGAGATCTTCCATCTGTTGGGTCACTACCCAAATGGCCACAACAGCTAGGGGTGGGCCAGGCCGAAGCCAGGAACAGGGAGCTTCGTTGGAGTCTCCCAGTTGGGTGGCAGGGGCTGAACCACTCATGCCATCTCCCTTTTCTTTCCCAGGCTACTTGGTAGGGATGTAGATTGGAAGTGGAGCACCTGGGACAGGAACTGGCACCCATGTGTGCCAGCATCTCAGGCAGCTACTTAATCCACTACACCACAATGCCGACCCTCCCCAAACAATGCCTTAAAGCCCACTCCACTGGGGCTGGCGCTGTGGCATAGTGGGTAAAGCTGCCGCCTGCAATGCCGATATCCCATATGGGTGCCAGTTGAGTCCTGGCTGCTCCACTTCTGATCCAGCTCTCTGCTATGGCCTGGGAAAGCACCAGAAGATGGCTCAAGTTCTTGGGCCTGGGCACCCATGTGGGAGACCTGGAAGAAGCCTCTGGCTCCTGCCTTTGGATAGGTGCAGCTCCAGCCGTTTTGGCCAACTTGGGGGTGAACCAGCGGTTGGAAGGTCCCTCTTCCTCTCTGTGTAACTCTGACTTTCAAATAAATAAATAAATCTAAAAAAAAGTGCACTCCACTAAGTACGGATTTTTTTTTAATATATGTTTTAATATACATATATGCATCTTTTTTATTTTTGAATAAATAGTATGTTGCAAATGCCAGTATTATTTTTTTTAAAGAAGAGTTTGGAAGAGTGAAAAATTACCCTGGAGCAATTGCTTTGGCTGTAATTTGAAAGAAAAGACCTTAAAAATATATTTGATGCCAGTATGAGGGAATCTCAAAAAGTCTGTGGAAAAATGGAATTAAAAGATAAATTTGTTTTAGTGTGAAAAATTTTGAAAGCCAGAGTGAGCATTTAGCCTGGCAGAGAAGACACATGCACCCCACACTAGAGCACCTGGGTTTGGTGCCTGGCTCCACTCCTGATTGCAGCTTCCTGCTATTGTGCATCCTTCGAGGCACCCCAGGATGGCTCAAGTAGCTGGGTGCCTGCCACCCACATGGGAGATCCAGATTGAGTTTCATGCTCCTGCCTCCTGTTCTAGGCATTTGAAAAGTGAACTGGCAGATGGAAGCTCTCTGTCTCCTACCATGTCTCTGCCTCTCCAAAAAAAAAAAAAAATTGAAATCACTTATTGTTTTGTCATATGTATTTTTCATGCACTTTTTGAAGACACCCTGTATGCATGAATTTCAAAAAATTTTTTGCCAAAACATTTTCCAGAAACTTTTTGAAGTATCCTTATATGTGCAATAATGGTGCAGAAGCATCGCTCACCTGCATTTTTAAACCCTTTTTAAAATGTGGACACTATTTACATTGCCTAATGATTTTAGTAGGTAGGTATAATTAAGACTATTTCACATGATGAATGTATTCAAATTTCAGGAAAAATGAAAATTATTTTACATTTCAGGCAAGATTAATATTGTTTAACTTTAGTAAACTATTTAGCAGTGATTTTGTTTGATTGTACACATTATTCTACATCACAGAACTGAAAGAAATTACAGTAAACAACCAATATTTCCATGAAGTCCTAAATATGCAGGTGCATAGCTTAAATTCAAAGGAAAAATCCTTTAAAATAGGACTGTAACTGAGTTTTTTGGTTATTTTAAAATTCACAAGTGTGCTTCTTTTGTACCCTGTGAACTAATCTCTGATTAAAATAAGCAAACAGATCAATTACAGAAAATAAAGCTGCTTTCTAATTCAAATGAATGCTAGGTTAACATCAACAGCTTTGGGCCTTTGGGCTTTCTTGCTATTTAAGCCATGGTTTGGCCTTCACTGAAGTCCAGCAAGGAGCCAGGGCCAACCTTGTCATGATGTCACCAGCAGTGGGTGCCAATTTCCCTGGTTTCAGTCAAGAAACATTATCCTTTCCAGTGAAAATTCCAGAATCATGCATTTCTTTACCCAAGAGAAGGCAGTGTCGTGTACCTGCCAGCAGAGGGCAGTTTAGGAAGGAATTGAACATAAAAGTTTCAGCCCTCTAACTGTGGGTTCAGATTAGTTTTTTTCTTTGTTCAGGGTCGAAATTGTCTTTCTTCTGCTCTTTTCCCCTTCTCTTTTGATTACCCCTTATGATCATTAATTTTTGGCCACAGAATTCTGGTTTGTAAGTACATAAACCCAAAATGATTTTTTCCTTTCTAGTTTTCTCCTGCCCAGCTTGTGAGGGCTTAAAGACTGACAGACCTAGGGAGCCCACCGAGGCCTTGTTTTCTCCCCCAAGACAGCAGTTAGGCATACATGCACAAATGCTGCCGCTGAACCCTATGATGTAACATAATGTCCGCCATGTACTTTCCTGCTCTCTCCAGTCGTTTGCATAACTGTGTTCTTGGTTGAACTTGTCATTCTTGCTGACAACACCCCTGCTCTTTTCCAAGGAAAGTTCGGGATCCCCGAGCGAATTTTGACCAGTCGCTACGTGTTCTGAAACACGCCAAGGAGGTTCAGCCTGATGTTATTTCTAAAACGTCTATAATGTTGGGTTTAGGCGAGAATGATGAGCAAGTATATGCAACAATGAAAGGTAAAGAAACTGAAAAGCAAAAACTCTTTCCCATTTATTTAAGCAGGGGTGGGGCAACATGCAGGCCACAGGAGCTATTAGACCCATGGAGCCGTTTGGTCTGATCCTGCCAAGGCAACCACATGTAGGGCTAGATATTCAGTAAATCCATAGCTGGCTAATTTTTTTGTTTTAAAAAGATTTATGTATTTATTTGAAAGGCAGAGTTACGGTGAAGGAAAGACAGGGAAATTCTTTCATCTGCTGGTTCATTCCCCAAATGGCTACAACCACTGGAGCCAGCACTAGAGGCAGGAGCCAGGAGCTTCTTCCAGGTCTCCCACAGGGGTTCAGGGGCCCAAGCACTTAGGCCATCTGCTGCTTTTCTAGGCACATTAGAGGGAGCTGAATCAGAAATAGAGCAGCTGGGACTCAAACTGGCACCTGTATGGGATGTAGGCACTGCAGGCCGTGGCTTTACCCACTATGCTGCCGTGCCATCCCGTAGCAGGCTAATTTTAAGTTGATAATTTTGTATGGCCTGTGGATGATGTTATAAATACCCAAATAGCCTGTGACAGGAAAGGTCCCCACTCCTGATTTAACATAACAGCAGGAAGTCCACTTTGAAGACCCTGATAAATCGACCCTTCCTCTATGGTCTCTGTGCAAGTGCTAAGGGCACGGTATGTAGTGAACAGCAGCATGAAAAGGAAAGGAAGTAGATTTTCTTAGAACTTCACGGAATGTCACACGTGGAGACAACGTGCATCCCATTGATTCCCCCATCCAGTGACCGTGGTTTCATCCGTCTCTCTCGTTCTGTCATTTGACTGTTTTTGAGAGCCAGACATTAACAATGCATAAATAATTAACACCAACCCAGGCCTGGTGAGGAGAACTTGCTTGTGAACTTGACATGTAACATGGTGTGCTTTGGATTTAGCTGAACTTTAGTCCCACAAGTCCATTTGCTTTGTGATTCTTGCACTTTTTTAACCCTTTAAATGTAAAAAGTTTTTATTTTACATGAGGGTCCTTGGCCTACTTGCAGTTATGAAAGGTCTACAAAAAGTTAATGGAAAATGCGTATTGTGAAAAAATATGAATGCCTTTGAAAACTTTCTTAGTTTATTTATTTGAAAGTTAAAGAGACAGAAATCAATCTCTTATCTCTGGTTTCCTCCCCAAATATCCACAACTGGTGAGGCTGGCCCAGGAACCAGGAGCCAGAAGGCAAGAACTCAGTCTGGGTCTCTCAGATGGGTGGCAGAGACTCAACTTCATGAGTCATCATTGGCTGTCTTCTAGAGGGTGCATTAGCAGGAAGCTGAAATTGGGAATACAGCCAGGCTCAAACCCAGCACTCCAATATGGGCTGCAGATGTCCCAAGTAGCATCTTAATTATTATGCCAGTTGCTAGCACTGTAGATTTATCTTTTTTTTAACTTTTATTAAATAAATATAAATTTCCAAAGTACAACTTTTGGATTATAGTGGCTTTTTCCCCCCATAACCACTCTCCCACCTGCAACCATCCCATCTCCCACTCCCTCTCCTATCACATTCTTCATCAAGATTCATTTTCAATTATCTTTATATACAGAAGATCAATTTAGTATATACTAAGTAAAGATTTCAACAGTTTGCACCCACACAGAAACACAAAGTATAAAGTACTGTTTGAATACTAGTTATGATTTATCTTTTTTTAATACTTATTTTTTATTTATTTCAAAGAGAAAGGTCTTCCATCCGCTGGTTCACTCCCCAAATGACAGCAATGGCAGGAGATTGGCCTATCCGAAGACAGAAGACAGGAATGTCTTCTGGGTCTCACATAAGGGTGCAGGGGCCCAAGAACTTGGTCCATCTTCTACTGCTTTCCCAGGCCATAGCAGAGAGCTGGATCGGAAGTGGTGCAGCTGGGACTCAAACCAGTGCTCATATGGGATGCCAGCACTGCAGGTGGCAGCTTTACCTGCTATGCCACAGTGTTGGCACCAGATTTATCTTTTAATTTCATTTTTTTCCACTAACTTACCCTTGTATTTAGTGATTCAAAGAGTAATAAGTTCAAATAGTAAATAAAACTTTTATGTTATCAATGCATACAGTTTATTATTAGAAAGATTCCAGGGCCAACGCTGTGGTATAGAAGGCTAAGCCTCTGCCTGCAGTGCCAGCATCTCATACGGGCACCGACTGGAGTCCTGGCTGCTTCACTTCCGATCCAGCTCCCTGCTAACGTGCCTGGGAAAGCAACAGAGAATGGCCCAAGTTCTTGGGCTCCTGTACCCATGTGGGAGACCCAGAAGAAGCTCCTGGCTCTTGGCTTGGGCCTGGCCCAGCCACTGCCATCGTGGCCAATTACGGAGTGAACCAGCAGATGGAAGATCTCTCTCTCTCTCTTTCTCAGCCTCTCTTTCTCTCTCTATCTCTGCCTTTCGGATAAATAAATACATTGTTTTTAAAAAAAAAGATTCTGATATTTCAGAGGCCTAATCCCATGCCTCCCACCCAGCACATCTTTTTTTTTTTTTTTTTTTTTTTTTTTTTTTTTTTACAGGCAGAGTGGACAGTGAGAGAGAGACAGAGAGAAAGGTCTTCTTTTTCCGTTGGTTCACCCCCGCAGTGGCCACTGTGTCCAGCGCACCGCACCGATCCGAAGCCAGGAGCCAGGTGCTTCTCCTGGTCTCCCATGCGGGTGTAGGGCCCAAGCACTTGGGCCATCCTCCACGGCCTTCCTGGGCCACAGTAGAGAGCTGGCCTGGAAGAGGAGCAACTGGGACAGAATCCGGCGCTACAGGCAGAGGATTAGCCTATTGAGCCGTGGCGCTGGCCCCAGCACATCTTACATATTGAATAAAAGCCTAATATAGCATGTTTGGCCCAGCTCAGGCTATTATTGCCATTTGGGGAAGTGAACCAGCAGATGGAAGACCTCTCTCTGTAACTCTGTCTCTCAAATAAATAAATAAATCTTTTTTTAAAAAATGCTTGCTAATATAATATGTGCTTTTTCCCCTAGCACTTCGTGAAGCAGATGTGGACTGTTTAACTTTAGGGCAATATATGCAACCAACAAAGCGTCACCTTAAGGTACCTTATCTCAAATTGATAAATACTTCTTGGCAATATTAATTAAATCTTCATCGCCCACAGGTATTCAGAAACTGGGGGCTTTTTAGTATAATGTTCCATGTATATTTGTAAGTCCCAGTTTCCATTTTATTATCTGCAGAGAGCAGCTACTCTGGTGCTTCTTTGCTGGCCCCCAGATTGTACAGTTGAAGTGAAGCAATAGAAAAAGCATTAAAAAGTTGGAACATTGTACTCGGTCACGCTCGGTGATCTGGTGATTTGCCTTAGAGTTACGTGAGAGCCAGCCATGAAGTAAGAAAACCAGTCTTTCTGTTTCTGTAGTGGACATTCATGCATTCATTCAGGCAGCTTGTGCTGAGTGTGACTGTGTGCCAGTCACAATGCTAGGCAGGAAGTATCAGATGAGTGAGATAGTTTTGTCCTCAGGAATCCTATGGGCATGACTAATTCTTGATTATGCCTATTAATCAATGAAGGGAAAACATAATCTCATTTTCTCCCTCTGTCCTTTGAATAGCTAATGTAGTACACGATAGGTTTCCCCTCTCTCATTCCCTGTAAGCCCCTTCTGATAGAAAGGCCAACTAGTAACCAGTAGACACTGGGTCAGAGAAGAGGGAGGGGCAGAAGGCCCGGGGGAGGGGCCTGCATAAGGGAAGGAGTGGAAAGCATTGTGAGTCGGTGGGGATGGGGTTTCCATAGAACCCGAATTATTTAGGGCAATTCTGGCATCTGATCGGAAGTACTCATTTCAATCTAGGTTGAAGAATATATTACTCCTGAGAAGTTCAAATACTGGGAAAAAGTAGGAAATGAACTTGGATTTCATTATACTGCAAGTGGCCCTTTGGTGCGTTCTTCATATAAAGCAGGTATGTTGGAGCACAGGAGATGGTTTTATTGAGGCCGCTAGCTTTCCACGCTAAGTTCCACCCAAACCACCAGCCCTCTCAGGCAGATTCTGTGAACGTAGCTGTCGTGCGGGGGGCGTGGAGGGAGGTGTTTGTGACATCTCTAGGCGCTTTGCTCCTTCAGGGTCCTATTAGAATATTATGGGGAAGTTTCTCCTAAACCTCATCTGTTCACAAAACTAACTCCTGCTCCTGATACAACTCAACAACTATGCAAAAGCAGAAACAATAAGTTCATTATTTTATTTTGGGTGAGTTTCAGTTGTAGTTTATTCAGAAATGACAAAGCATGTCAGGCATATAATGATTCTCTGAAAAATGTAGATTCATTTGAAAATAATGCCATCTGCAACTCCAGTCTCCCTGATTTCCAATCAGTTTAAGCACTGAAAAGAATTTGATAACATTGCTGCTCGCACCATTAATTTCTTTGTATTTTTCCCCTCAGAGGCAACAAAAAAGAATCCATATTACCATTTTTTCTTATGGAAATTTTTAGTGGTTTCACCAGATACAGTGTGATTTTTCACCTTTGAAATTTCAGTTCTTATTTTGATCAGTTGCTTGAGCTAATTTATTAAAATAAGAGCATTTTCCAAGGGATTAAAAAGTCACTTGATAATGGCCTTCAGGTCATAAGAACACACTCAGTTTAATCTAAAAATGTTTCTGGCGGGGCAGACATTTGGGGCGCAGTTGCACTGCTGCTGGGGGACCTGTGCCCACAGAAGAGGGCCTGGGTCTGGGTCCCAGCTCTGCTTCTGATCCCAGCTTTTCTGCTAATGCTGTCCCTGGAAGGCAGCAGGTAATGGCTCAATTAGTTGGGTCCCTGCAAGCCATGTGGGAGACCTGGATTGAATTCCAGGCTCCTGGCTTTAGCATGGCCTGGCCCTGGCTGTTGCAGGAATTTGGGGAGTGAAACAACGATAGAAGATTTCTGCCTGTGTCTCTGCCTTTCAAATGAATAAATAAAAATATAAAAAATTAATAAAGTATGTTCTTGTCCCTGTCAGTTGGACTTAACACTTAAGTGATTGTTAGGAATAAGCGGCTAGGTATTTTTAGATATGTCTAAAGTATGTCATTATAATCTTTTAAAGATTGCCTTAGATATCGGAATTTGAATCATAGGTATGTTTAAATTTGGCATGAATTCCATTTGAACAAATTAATAATGCTCAAGTATTAGTAACATTCAGAGTGATCCTATAAGGATCCTATAAGGATCACTAACAACTTATCCTGGTTGTAAAGCCCAAGAATTTGATTCCACATCTACTGCCAGGGCATGGGGTCTTTGAACACCAGTGATTCCTGGTGATTTAGTCGTTAGACAGTCCTGCTGGCACGTTAAAAACACCTGTAAAGATGAAAACCGATATCAGCTGCTGGAGTGGATGTTTTTGTTTTCTCCCTCTCACTCTCTCTTTTTTTTTTTTTTTTAAAGGAAAATCTGTCTAACATTATCTAGGCAGTGCATGATGGCCTTTTTTTTTTTTTTTTGAGATTTATTTTATTTGAAATCAGAATTACACAGAGAGAGGAGAGGGAGAGGGAGAGGGAGAGAGAGAGAGAGAGAGAGGTCTTCCATCTGATGGTTCACTCCCCAGTTGGCCACAATGGCCAGAGCTGTGCCAATCTGAAGCCAGGAGCCAGGTGCTTCCTCCACATCTCCCATGCAGGTGCAGGGGCCCAAGGACTTGGGCCATCTTCTACTGCATTCCCAGGCCATAGCAGAGAGCTGGATACGATGGACTTTTTAATGATTTTTTTTTTTTACTCCAAGTAAAGATTGGATTCATGTATGTGGGGCATTAGCCTCAGATGATGAACTACATGTTGGTTTTACTCCCACCAGATTGGTATGAGGTGTTGGAGCTGCACGGGTGACGTGGCTGAGTTATCAGCCTTGGGCATTCTTGGTGATGGTGCATAGGTATCGTCATCACCGTTCTATTCCTATGTGGAAGCTGACGAAGAGAAGTTAATCAGAGTCCTCATAAACTCAGGCCTTCTGGGCCGCGATCTGCCAGTTAGCACTGAGCTGGAACAGGATGGACCGAATGGAACCCTGATGGCCTGAAAAGTAACAGTGCCCCTCTGAGCAGCTCATGTGCCGCGCAGGGCACAGCTCAGGCAGTGAGAGAAAGCCCATTAGAAGCGAAAGCTCTGGCTTCCCTGGAGGGGATGAGCTACAGAGATCCCATCAGATGAGTCTGCTCAGCTGCGACAAGCCTGTTTTATAAACATCATGTCCTGGCTAATAACGCTGCACAGTTGTTCTCTCAAATGAATTTTGCCAACAGCAATACTTTGTCGGTGATGAGGAATTGATAGTGCACATAAAATAGGAAAAGATGTGCAGAAGCATGCCATTGATACAAGAGGGTGGCCCTTTATAATACTGGGTTACTAGAAAGAATAGTGGTAGAGACCACAGTGATAAATAATTTTTAAAAACAGTGACTAATTGTATAGGAAAATATTAGAATGATTAGGAAATAATCTTTTAAGTATAGGAAATTTTAGAAAAATGTTAGCCTTCATATTTAAAAAAAAAATTTCTTTATTTGAAAGGCAGAGTTACAGGGGTGGGGGAGGAACAGAGAGACAGAGACAGATCCTGCATTCACTGGTTCACTCCTCAAATGGTTGCCATGATGGGTTGAACCAAGCCAAAGCCAGGAGCCAGGTGCTCCTTTCTGGTCTTTCCTGTGGTTGGCAGGGTCCTAAGCACTTGAACCATCCTCTGCTGCCCTCCCAGGCACATAAGCAGGGAAGTGGACTGGAAGTGAAGTAGCTGGGACTCGAACTGGTACCCACATATGGGACACTGATGTTACAAATGCAGCCCGACTTGCTGTGCCACAATACCAGCCCCTACCACTCATTTGAGAAAAGAGAAATGCCAGTAAAAATAAGTCTTCCCTAGAAGGAAAACACAAATGTAATATTGAAATAGTCTTATTTTTTTTTGAAATTGATAGTATGTTTTCATTGTTCCTAAATAGGTGAATTTTTCCTGAAAAATCTAGTGGCTAAAAGAAAACAAAAGCCCTCTAAACCTTAAAGAAGACCTTCAGGATCAAGGAAATTTTAAAAATTTGCTTCCAGGTGGTGCCAAATGTGGTGCCAGAATGCCTAGCCTTCAGTGGACGTACTCCAACTCTTTCTGCTTTAAGGAAACTATCAGTAAGCTGTGTGTATTTCATTATGATCATTCATTTGACTTGTAGAACATCTTTTTTGTCCCAATAAGCAGTTGCTTGCTGTGATATAGTCATAAAACATTTTTATGACTTTGCTGTTAGCATAATAATTTAGAAATACATTAAAAACTTCCAGATTTTTTAAGCCACTTTTATTTATGCATCATCATCATAGTTTATTTAGGAAAAATGTAAAAGCAAAGTCTCCTGTGTTACAGCGATGAGCAGCATGGATGAGCCTGTGATCAGTTCACGTAGGATGAACCTACAACATCATCGGGGTAATTTGAAAAGGCTTGGGATTTTGAATGTTGATTCTTTACATGGGTGCAACAGCTTCAGGCCCTGCAAAATAGCTTTACACTACTCATTTAGTGCCTGTGTGAAACAGGACACTGGAGCTTGTCAAAGGCACAGAAATGTAACCCATGTCATCGTAACCCTTGTTTGTCTAGTAGCTTGCTAAATCCACATGTACTATCCCAGTGATTCCTCTTCTTCCTAAACTACTTTGGAGAAGCAATTGTATTTCAGGTAATAACCTGAAGAAGGTATTTCTTTCCAACAAATTAATACTCAAATTTATCTTCTGACTCTGAATCCTGTTTTTCTGCTCATTCTACATTTCTCAAAGGAAAATTGTAGATTGCTATATTGTAAGATATATAGGTAGCCAAGGTTTTTTGGGGGCACTTTTAAAGAAAAGTACCAGTGTTTGTTATAAAAGTAATATATAGCTTTGGAAATTAGTTACATTTTAATTTAACCTAGAGAAGGATTTATATGCTTGCCTTAGAGATCCTAATAAATTTTACTGCATGATCTTAACCCCATCAACTTTAAACACTACAGAGACCTAAAAACTTACTCCCCAGGAAAAACTGGCTTGCTTTCCAGACTCCGGCTGTATAACATAATCTCAACGCTTCCTCACAGTTAGGCCTTTGGCAGAGTGTACGCTGATAGTAATGAAATATTTTTAGCAGGAGATTCACTTTGTCAAATGAAATGATAAAACTCCAGTATGAAATATTTAAATAACATTTTATTAGCACAAATGTATGTTAACATTGCAGATTTATAATTTTTATTTATTCTGTATATAAAAGTAGTGAATCATAAAATGAAGCTATGAACAGCAGGGGATGTTGGTTTTTGAAGTTGAATCACAAATAATGACATCCTGACTTGTTACTCATTCGCCCATTACTGCATAACTGACCGTTATATCCTGACTGGAACGTGTATGAGCAAGTGTCTGGTCTCGCTGGCCCCCTAAGTGTGGCGAGCATCTGCTGGACAGTGTCCTCCCTCGCACAGCTGTCCAAGAGTAGACAGACTTGACTTTTAAAAGGACAGGTCAGAGATGTTTAAATGCACAGATAGGGCAGGAAGTATATATGAACATCGGACAGTGCAAGTTAAAACATCAGTGGTCTCCAATGTATTAAAATTTGGTATGTAATATACTTCAATGTGTGTGTGATCTTTTTCTTGTGTAGCACAAATGGCATTTGGTTTTAAAAAATGAAAGCTATAAAGGCACATAATTTTTTAAAAAATAGGGTACAGAGCAGTAACATTCCTTGCCCTTGTTCTCTCCAAGCAGTTCTTTAGAGAAAAACACCCCTACCCTGCCTTATTTTAAACTCTCAGGCAAAGAGACAGACTGGCGTGGGTAAACACAAGGCTGCCCTGCAGTCCACCTCTGGGTGGGATGAGATTATTCAAGCGGAAGACCTACAGTGAGGACCTGGTTTCTCTTCCACCTCCTTTGAGGCGGAGCCTCTGCTGTTATGCTGGGTGGGGCCAGAAATTTCTTGAAATCTCTGTCTTGACCAGTCATGGCCCCTCCTAGTCTCTTAGTTTTATTGCATCCTGTTTTTCCCCTCCCTGTGATCTAATTTAATGGGGTCCTCAGAGGGAGAGGATTTAAATGCCATATTGTCCAAGAACGCTGCTTGGGTTTTTTTTTCTCATGACTAGTTATTTTCTGTTTTCATTACTATTTTCTCTTTCATTAGTACATAAAAGTACATATTTATAGAGTACAATGTAATATTTCAACACATTTAATGGTGTGCACTGATCAAACTGGGATAATTAGCATTTCCATCTCCTTATAATTTATATCTAGAGCCTTTAAGCTCCTGTCGTCTACTTCATAAAATGTCCAACAGGCACTGTGAACTGCAGTCACCCTGTGTCATGAGACGCTAGGATTTATTTCTTCTACCTCCCCGGGTTTTGGGACCCATTATCCATCAGTGCCCTGTCTTCCTGCTCACCTGCCCTTCCCAGACACTAGTACTAGTCTACTCTTCTTTGAGATCAGCTGTTATAGCTTCCACACCTGAGAGAGACGTGTGGCATTTTTCCTTCTGTGTCTGGCTTATTTTATGTAACATAATATGCAGCTTTGTAGATAGTTTTATATGTATACTCTATGTATATGTGTGTGTGTGTATATACTTAAATATATCTATATATTTATATATACATAAACCATTCATTTGCATGATCCCTGGAACACCTCTGTGGATATTTAGGCCATAGTTTGAAAACCATTGGTAGCAGGGCCGGCGCTGTGGTGTAGTGGGTAAAGCTACCGCCTTCAATACCAGCACCCCATATGGATGCTAATGCACCTGGGAAAGCAGCAGAAGATAGCTCAAGTCTTTAGGAGACCTGGAAGAAACTCCTGGCTCCTGGCTTTGGAGTGGCACAGCTCTGGCCATTGCAGAGCAAACCATCTGGGGAGCGAACCAGGTGGATGGAAGATCTGTTTCTTTGTCTCTTCCTCTCCCTTGGTCTCTGTTAAATATGTCTTTCAAATAAATAAATCTTTTTTTTTTTTTTTTTTGACAGGCAGAGTGGACAGTGAGAGAGAGAGAGAGAGAGAGAAAGGTCTTCCCTTGCCGTTGGATCACCCTCCAATGGCCGCCGCTGCAGCCGGCGCACCGCGCTGATCCGATGGCAGGAGCCAGGATCCAGGTGCTTTTCCTGGTCTCCCATGGGGTGCAGGGCCCAAGCACCTGGGCCATCCTCCACTGCACTCCCTGGCCATAGCAGAGAGCTGGCCTGGAAGAGGGGCAACCGGGACAGAATCCGGCGCCCCAACCGGGACTAGAACCCGGTGTGCCGGCGCCGCAAGGTGGAGGATTAGCCTAGTGAGCCACAGCGCCGGCTTCAAATAAATAAATCTTTAACAACAAAAGAAAAGAAAATTCTTGGAAGAGAACGAGTTAACATGTAATTTTCACTTGACACTTCTGTGTTTTGCCATCGTGCAGGCTTGGTCATTAGTCTTAGGAAAACTAACATATCTAGCTGTTTTCTAAGTTTAGTATTAATAAATAAAATATATCACCTACTTCTGTGTTTCCAAAAGTCTAATCACTCTTGTACAACCTTCATAATTTTTGCCCTATCTGGATGGGAACTATAGTTGTGTGTACATACAATATAACAATAAACTGACCTTTTTTGTCTTTGTAAGATTATTTGAAAGGCAGTTACACAGATAAAGAAGGAGAGGCAGAGAGAAAGAGGTCTTCCATCCTCTGGTTCAATCCACAGATGGCTGCAATGGTTGGAGTTGTGCTGATCTGAAGCCAGGAGCCAGGGGCTTCTTCTGGGTCTCCCATGTGGGTGCAGGGGCCCAAGGACTTGGGCCATCTTCTGTTGCTTTCCCAGACCATAGCAGAGAACTGGATTGGAAGTGGAGCAGCCAGGACTTGAACCGGCACCCATATGGGATGCCAGCACTGCAGGCATAGGCTTTACCCACTACACCACAGTGCCAGCCCCAATGGACTGAACTTTAAAACTTAAATCCTTTTGAAATGAAACCTTGTATCTTTACCACGATGGAGAAATTGTCAACAATAGCAGTGAAAATCTAGTGACCCAGTGGATGGAAGATCTCTCTGTTGCTCTGCCCTCCAAATAAATGAATAAGCTTGAAAAAAAAAACAAAAAAAACAAAGTCCCTCTCTTTCTTAAAGCATTTGAAGTAATGGCATAATACCCCTTTCTCTAATAAGTGGAGTCATTTCTTCCCCACCTAATGTCAGACTGCCATGACTCACTAGTTACTTGTACCATGACAAAGATTACACCTACACAGTCGTTGGTGCAGAATATTTTATTTATGTGTTAATTATACAGGTGTCTGTGTCTCATCTTTATGCACATCTCTTACTGGACAGCAACAGTTCCTAAAGAACGAGACCTGCATCTGTTAAACCCAGACTGTATGCTCAGCAGAGCACAAGCATAAAATGGACATCTGACATATTCCAGCAATGATCAAACACAAGCAAAAACCATCACTACAAATACAAATACAGAAGTCAACAAGACATAAGAAAAAAGCAGATGGAAATACAAAATTTCTTATTTTAGAATGATGTTATATGTAATTTATAACATCTACTTTAAGCTTATGTTGAGATTACATTGGTTTTCTAAAGAAAAGGAAGAAATCCTAACTACAAATAGAAATAAAAAATGCAAAACCTAGGTAACAAATGTTTTTGGCTTTTGCACTACAAATATAGTGATGACTGAGGAAAATAAGAAACAAAGGGGAGAGAAACAGACAATGCTATGGATGTTCTCTTCACGTTACAAAAGACGGAGAACACTTTTCACGTTAAAGAGTAACTGGAATTGAACTGCGATGGTTTTGGGGCTTAAAGTGAAAGACATGATCTCATGAAAACAGAGGGACTGTAGCCAGAGCATACTACACTGCAGAGGCTGTCTAGCACAGTAATTTCATGGCTTCAAAATACAGAGTGCCTTTCCCTGTACAGTATGATACTAAAGTGCTACCGATGGATTTGCAAAGGAAAAAGTATTACGTTTGTATTTTACAAAATTGACACCATTAAAACCAACATGATTGTTTACCACTCATCCAATATCTGAGCTAATAATATAAAAATATGTAAAAAATATCCTAAATTCATAATTATCAGATATGCTGATATCCATATAGCTGGTATAAATTTGATGATTAAAAAAATAATTTTGTTTCCTTAAAAACACTAGGTTCATTTGCCATTTCTATCAGATAGATATTTGCTATCCTAAAGTACCAAAAAAAAAAAAACCAACAAAAATGGCAATGTCTAGACTTTAGGTTTCTTGTTAGGTGGATCCTGAAGACTGAACTTCGGAATTTCACCAGAAGCAGCATATGGAATTCTCTTTGAAGACACCTTTTTGCCAATTGTTTCGATCTGAAGGGGGGAGAAAAACAGGTTTTAAAATGAGAAAATTAATAATTACAATACATAAATCTAAGATCTATATTATGTGGTGTAATAGAGGGAAAACAGATTATTTTTCTTTTTAAAAGGAGAAAAAGTTCCTCAAGTTGTCCGAGTTGCTGTGAGAGGCCTCTGGATTCTACTTTTTGTTTCTAGCATCAGCATACCTTCCACTTTTCATACTTGGATCTAGTCACACTCATACCTGCCATTCCCCACACCAGACCCCTCAAATACCAGTCGAGAATCCTGTGTCACTGCTGGCTTAGTAGCAATCGTGAGAACAACAGACAGACGGATTCCAGTGAGTTCAGATTCTCTCTCAACTCCATTCTTGTTTCCACTGCCTTTACACTATAAAACTAGCAGAAGCCGTAATAGCATAGTTTCTGAGGGTTTAGGCTTCAGTCTGAACAGCCCCAATCAGAATCCTGACAGACACTTGCTACATGACTGAAACTGTCTAGGTCCTTTGTCACGTGGTGTTTGTTACCGCCACCTACCTCAAGAGGCAGTGGTAAAGATTAAGTTAGGTAAAGTGCTTATCATATAACAAGTCAGCTTTTAATACATGATAGTTTTTACTTTGCACATCTTTCATTGTTACAAAACCATCAATGTTATCATTAAAGACATGATTTCTTTAATAGAAGTTTAACTCCCCTCTACAGCAGAGATAAATATATTACTGAATTTTCATATGGCTTTTGAATTAAAAATTAATATTTAATTCTGACTCATACCTCAAAAAAAGACTTCTGTCTTATTAAGTGACTAAAAAATGTGTATCTTCCCTTAGACGAGTAAAACAGGAATGGGAGAAAATGTGTCTATGCTTCACAAATAACCTTTTTTTTTTTTTTTTGATAGGCAGAGTGGATAGTGAGAGAGAGAGACAGAGAGAAAGGTCCTCCTTTTGCCATTGATTCACCCTCCAATGGCCACCACGGCTGGCGCGCTGCGGCTGGTGCACCGTGCTGATCCGAAGGCAGGAGCCAGGTACTTCTCCTGGTCTCCCATGGGGTGCAGGGCCCAAGCACCTGGGCCATCCTCCACTGCACTCCCTGGCCACAGTAGAGAGCTGGCCTGGAAGAGGGGCAACCGGGAAAGAATCCAGCGCCCTGGCCGGGACTAGAACCCGGTGTGCTGGCGCCGCAAGGCGGAGGATTAGCCTATTGAGCCGCGGCACC